AAAGTTCAAAACCTAGAATCAAACAAATAAGAATTAGAATAAATTAAATCTGAATAAGAACAAAACATCAATTAATTGAATGACAAAGTTCAAAACCTAGAATCAGATAGATAAGAATTAGAATAAATTAAATCTGAATAAGAACTAAACATCAATTAATTAAATGAGAAAGTTCAAAACCTAGAAGCAGATAAATAATAATAAGAATAAAATATCAATTTATTGAATGAGAAAGTTCAAAACCTACAATCAAACAAATAATAATAAGAATAAAATATCAATTAATTAAATGAGAAAGTTCACAACCTAGAATCAAACAAATTAGAATTAGAATAAGTGAAATCTGAATATGAACAAAACATCAATATAAAGAATGAAAAATTACAAAACTTAGAAAAAGATAATTACGAATTAGAATAATAATTAAACTTAATTAATAGCCAGCACTAATAATTGTTATAAGATTATTCTGTTTTGTAACAATTATTAACATCATTAAATGATTAAGTTACACATTATGCTTAAACCTTAGAACTCAAGAATTAAAATGCAACTGAAATTCTTTTTCTTGCAAGTCATTCGTTTTCTTTATTGTAATAACTTCAAAAAATATTTATTCAAGCAAATGATTTAATTATTGAAAAAGGCTTTATGAGCCTAGATTTACGAGAAGTTGAATAGATTTGCAATTCATAAAATTCATATTTAATAAGTATTAATCTTTTATTTTATTAGATCTTATTTAAATACTATCACCAGAATTTGTTCCAATTTAAAATTTAATGTTAAAAGATTAAAAATTGCAGTCAACTAACATAGATATAGATTAATATTCTACTTTAGATCCAATGAAATCTAATTAGAATAATATTTTATCTTCAACCTCATCTTAAAAACCATTATTTCTAAACAATTAAATTAACACAAAAATTGAGACACCAAATATCTAATTGAAAATTGAATCTATGCAAAACAATATCAATTTCCTTAATGAAGCTTTATTAAGCACTAAATAGTAAAACACAAAATTAACAAAAGATTTTATTGATTTGATCTTAGCTCATGATAAAATAATTTTAAGTAATATTATTTATTCTATTTAGGTCTTCAAACTGAATAATCATAATAACAAAGTTAAGAAGTCAATAAAATAATAACAGAGCAGCAAGAAATTTTCTCAAACATATTAATAAATGATTAAAAAAGTATAATTGAACTAACCAACCCTGAAGAACTGAAAAGAATAATTAAAGATTAGCAGTTACAGTTAGATTAAATGAGTCATCGAGCACAAACTAAGATTTAACATCTTTAATAATAAATAAATTTACTTTCTTTAGATCTAAAGTAGCAATAGAAGCATAGGCCTGTTATTAATGTTAATGATACACTTTTGGAGAAAATAACATCTTTGGAAAGTAATTTTTTTCAATTATATTTCAGATTTTAATGATTAAATGAGATAAATAATAACATCTAATACAAATGAGATTTAAAATTTGAATGATCAAATCCAGCAAAAGAACAGATGTAAATAATTACAATATTTAGATTTTAATAATGAATAAGAACTTTTTAAAAAGTCTTTAGAATAATTGCATAAATCATAATTATCTTATATTAATTAGATTGAGGATATGACTTAAGAAATAATTAGTATTTCATTAATAATATATTAGAAAAAAATGCTGAAATAAACTCTTTAAAAGAAGAGATCTAGACTTTAAAATAAAATAACTCAAGTTTTACAGAGCAACATGAATTAAATAACTATTATCAGGAATAAATGAAAAGTATAATTTCTTATATATTAGTGCTTTAAAATTAATTAGAAAAATCAAAATCAAATATTCAATAATATTCCTGTACAAATTCTCCATAAGTTGATAATCAATCTATGTTTGGAGAGGGTGATAAATATAAAAAACTAATAAACAGCTTAAATGAGGAGATCAAACTAAGCAAACTTTAAGTTTCGTAATTTTCAACATCCTACTCAGCTTTGAAGCAAACCTAGAAGGAAATTTCTAATCGATTGAGAAGAATTTTGAACATCCCATTTGATTAAAAGACTGAACTTTAAGAGATGCTTAATTAAATTGAAGAATAATTCCAATTGGTATCTTAAATGCAACCAAAGAAAAAAATTATTGGTTTATCCGATACAACAAAGTACTTGTTAGGAAAAAGTCCAAAAGAATTGAATGAAACTGAAACAAAAAAAAAATAGGCAAGCGCCGAAAATTGGATTCAATCAAAAAATAATGAAATTTATCAAGAAGAAATGTAAATATTGATCTCTATCATATCAGCTCGGTTGATCTAGACTAAATTTTAAATGAAGAGGATTCTGAATAAGAAAGTTAACACAATATCTAAATCACTTAATTTGAATATGAAAAATAAGTAAATTCCATTTTACAAGAAGAGGATGAGTTAGAAAAGAGTAAATAGATAAACCTTTCATAAAATGATTAGGTACATAATGATAAATAAAGAACAATTTCAAATATTTAAGAACTTAAAGAGGAAATTGCTGATTTAGAAATAGTCTAGGTTAAGAATTAGAAATTAATGTTGCAACAACAGCAGGAGCATTAAGAATCAATTTATAATTTATAAGAATTAATTGAAAGTAAATTATCAACTATAATAGATTTACAACAAATAATTTAATAATAAAACCTAAAACTTATTAATTAAGAAGCAGAATTAGATAATCATTTCAAAAGCGAAAAATAACAATAAGAAATTATTGCTTGTTTCTAAAATTAATTAGAATAAGCCAAAAAAGAGATGAAATCACAAAATTCATAATTTGGTGATAATTAAAACAATTATGACCAATCACAAGATTTGAAAAATGCAATTCTCCATTTAGAGTAAGATAAATTTGAGCTTACAGCTTAATTAAACGAAGAAATCACGAAAAATAAAGAATAAAAGGAATAATTTTTTGAATCAATCTCAATAAGGGATAATATTATTTAATGTAAATAGAATTAGATTATCTTAGATTTGTAAACATAACTAGCTATAAAATCTTCTGATTATGATCCTAAAACCTCGGAAAGAAGTTTAAATTTATAGAATTAATATGAATCAAGTTTGGAAAATTAATAATCAAACTTTGATGACAAAAGTAAGGCTTTATTTAATGTAGTGTTAACTCATGAAGAAGCAAGATTTGTTAAATCAATTCAAGAGCATGAAAGTGAAACAGACGAAAATCAATCGTTTTAATAATAGTTGATACCTCGTTTGCCACTTCTGACTTAGCAATTAAGAATAAGAAATCCAAGATCAACAAGAGGATTGAGAAGCAGTGGATCATAAGATCATTATTAAAGTAAATGCATCAGTTAAAATAGATAACTAAATAAGAATTGATTAAATAGAAGAAGAGTACTAAGAACAAATTAAATTTTTAATTAATGAAAAATCTCAAATGAAGTTATGTTTATAGAAGGATATTGAAAATAAAGAAGAAGAAATAGAAGAGATGAAACTTGAGTTAGATAATTTATAATAAAGGTTAATAGCTCTTGATATAGCTAATAACGATAGATAAAAAGAACTAGAATAATTAAATCAATATTTAAGAAAATTAGAAAATTAAAATTAAAGTATTATTATTTTTTTTTAATTTTAGGTCTCAAAAATCATAATAATAATATTGAAAATTAACTAAATACTTAACTTCAAGCTTTTGAAGACTAAAGAAAGATAGTTGAGAATACTCATAGAACAAATGATGAAATTTAGAAAAAATATGACATACTACTGAGGAAATATTTAAGTACACATAAATAATTAAATTAAGAATTGGAAGATGATCATAATAAACTACTTGAAGAATAAGAAAATGATTTAGCCAAAATAAACTTTTATAATGAATCCCTAAAGAGTATGCAAGATTAAGTAGAAAAGTCAAAGGAAAGAATCTGCAAGACTGTACTCTAATCTCCTTGCGTAGATAGAGATCAAAATGAAGAAAATAAATTTAAATAGCAGATAAATCGACTTAATGATGAATTAAGAATAAGTAAATTATAGGTAGCCTAATTTTCTGCTACAAATCTTTAATTAAAATAAAAACATTAAGAATTAGTTGTTAGACTTTAATAACTTTTTAAATTATAATTATAAGAGAATGATGATGCTGCATAAATAATCAGTTAAATTGAGTAGTACGTTTCAAATTAGGATCAAAATAGTCCGATTAAAATTTAGAAAAGATTAGGAATGAATGATGCTACTCGATTTTTCCTTAATAGGTCAAGTAAATCACGATCGTCTTAAGGTTCTAATAGGCCTTCATTATAATAATAAAGTTAAATACCTTCAAGAGAAAGTCCATCGAAAGCAGATAATTTAATGTATTTTTTTTATAGGATTTTAGCGAGCTTGACAAAATACTTGACGAATCAGATTTTGAGAGAGAAATTTCTTCATAACAAAATTTCTTTTATGACAATAATTGATGACCATTGATTAATTCACTTTTTTTTTTATTATATTTTAATTATAAATTATTTCTTTTGGTAACTGTTACTTCTATAATAATTGTCATAAAATTAGGACTATCGTGAAACAAATCTTATTAGAGAATAGTATTTATGTATTTATATTGATAATTAATAAGGAACTTATTTCTACAATCATAATATCTATTCATTTATAGAATACAAATGGTTAAGTCAATACTAATTGATGAATTTAATTTAACAATAAAAATTTATATAACAAAAATTCAAACATAAAATGAAAGGAAAATTAGTATAATCCTTGATCAATCTATTTCCTAATCAACATTAGGAAACATTAATCAAATGTGTGTTTTTAATAGGATTTGATAGGCTTATAAAAAAGGGGTTTCTATTTAATGGCAAACCTAAACTTCAAGAAATAATAGATTATTCAGGTAAACATATTTTTAATGTAGTCAAATTGGAAAAAAATGGAAGATTAGACTTTGTTTAATAACCTTGCATAGTAAAACACGAGTTGGATCATTTAAAGGATGAAATAAATAGGTTAACTTCATAAATATAATCTAATAACTCGATGATGTAAACTCCTAGACATATATTTTAGTCAAAAATAAACATAAAGAAGCTATGAAAGGTTAATATTGTAAAATGTTTCCCCTCAATATGATGAAAGAAAAAGGTCTGTATCAGTTGGATATAAATAATAATAGCAATAATTGGTTTAAAAAAAAACTAAAGAAATAACTCCAAAAATTACAGAAACTATTCCTTAGGCCATCAATCAAATCAACATTACTATTTCCAAACATCATTTAGATGATACAGAAATAAAGTCAATAATGAGAGATGATTAAATAAGAGAAAAGCCTCCAAAGCCAAACAAATTAAATTAAGATTAAATTTTCAAAAGAAATAATCAGATTGAATATCCGCACATAGATGCAGAAGAACATCCCACATTTATAGATTCTGATAGTGTAAATATTAAAGAATGTTGCATTCCTTAGATTCTGTAATATTCTAATCTCTAAAATAGTTAGTTTTCTTAGAATCAATAACAACTATAGTTATAACAACAAGCGTAATCTAATCAATTCTAATTATAAACATTTAACTAATTGCAACCAGCCTAATTATAATAACTAAAGTAATCCTAATTTTCGTAATAGTCAAACACAAAGTAGAGTGATCATTAAACCCAGAATACAAATTAAACTTTTGTATAGCCTTATTAAAGTTAAAAGCTTGGTGTTTAACCTTCAAAATCTCCAAAAAGCTAATCAAAATCTAAGAGTAAATCTCCAAAATTTAAATAACAAAAGAAGCAAATATGTAAAAAAAGCTTAGATTCTGCGCATCAAGAAAGTATTGCTCTCGCAAAACATTAAAGAAGTCATTCAGCTTCATCTAAGCGAAGGGGATCTCACGGATAATAAAAAGCTCAATAAAATTATTAAGCTGCATCCAAGATTAAAGCACTTTTGGATTAGGATAAGAAAATATACAAATAACACTTATTAGACGTTGCAAGTGAAAGGAGATCTTTCTTAAATACTTCTTAAAAGATGAAAAGAATTTAAGAAGAAATAACAATAGGCCAAAATTAATCAAACTATTAAGAAACTAGCAACTAGGCTAATAAAAGAAATTTTACAAATAATAGTTTTTATTAATAGTAATAAAGCGAATAAATTTCGCCATTGTTGGATTCAGAATTGAAAGGTCACGGTCTAGATCCATTAAACTAGTTTTAAGGCTCATATTCAATTACAAGTTCAAATCCTATTGGGAATTACATCACCAATCCCCGTTAATAAGATAATATACTCATTTATGGCAAATACAAATAGTAGATATTTGATCAATACTCTCCTAAAGTTAAATATTAAGCAAGACCATAAAGTGTGGGTAAATAATTGGAGAGTGACTTAAAAAGATCTAATGATTACAATAAGAGTTCAATTAGTAGTACATTTTCAATGTTCAATCCGAACGAAGAGTTAAAGATATTCTTTTAGAATGATTTTCTAGAGAGGAAAAAATATTTTCCTTAAGCGTATAATGATATGACAAAATAAGTATGTTATTTTCGTTATTAAATAGTCATCTCTAAATTCCTCACTAGATTATAATTAGCATTAAAGCAAATATATTAGCTCAAGTCAAATTGAGGATCAGTAGAACGAAAGCAATAACGTATTTAGTCCTCAATAATACTAAAATGTTGATAAGTCGAACGTCTTCAATAATAATAGGCTTAGCGTAACTAGAATACTAAATAATTCCTAAATATGAAAATATATTTGTTTTTAATTCTAAATGAAATTATTATTGCCTACTTTTTTAAATATTTCATAATCTGAATGGATAATAAATATTGAGGCATTTGCAGAGGATTCATTAACAACGTTGGATGGTAAATTTGAGTTAAAATTTATTAAGGATGGATAATTTAAAATTAATTCTAAGTAACCTCTGTAGGAGGATTGAAAACATTTGAATGAAAGACTACGGCGACCAAATTTATAAAATTGTCTCCTCATTATAAAATGTAGTTTAATATCCAACTTTGAACATATCATCTAAAGAATTTTTGAGTTAGAATCATTTTAAGAAATAGAAGGATGGAATTTTTATGAACTTGATCCTGCTAGTCTTAATCCTCCTATTACAAAATGCTCTGATATGGATTTGATTGGAGGATATCAAAATTTGATTTTACCCAACCATGATATGTTAAGATTAAGGCTACAATCTACAAAATTGCTAATTGGGATGGAGAGGAATTAATATTGTTAATTTATAATAGTGATATTTGGATACATTTTCTAGACTGGAATGAGCCCTCTTCATGTGATATTTGTGATAAAACGTTTGGCATAGCAATGCAGAATTGTGACATGGTTTCTTAAGTGCCTTTAAAAAAGAGCCAATAAAGCATTTTGGGGATTTAGAGACTTTTAGCTTTCTCTACTCCATCAAATGAGTGTATTTGATTATTCAGTGTATGCAATTATAAAGGATTGCAAGAAAAACTTTGTGAAAATTAAGAGTCGTTGCGCTCATCTAAATTAGAATTTGATATTTAGTCTATGAAAATAATTGAAGTTATGCAGAAATTTCTGTTTAAAAGGGAATTAAGTTGAATATGAAACCAATCAAGAATGCTTGTTTGGTTTCACTGTTTTTAGAGATTTGATATTTAATAAACAAAAGCTAAGTTTAAATTTAGAATACAAATGAATTCTCAATTATTGAACAATTATTGATTGGGAATATGAAATATTTTCATAAATGATAATATCAATTATAATATTCTAAATTTTTAATATGTATAACATGAAACTGGTTCAACAGATTTGATTACATAGTTGAGTTATAGAAATTTCAAAGAATTTCAATATCTATTGGTTATTGTGGTAAAGATAGTATCCGACTTCTCACATTTGTAACGGTTTGTCTAATATGTTCTTTTTTTATTAAAAAAATGCTTTGACCTATCATAAAAAGGTGTGTTGGTATCTAATTTTTATTTAAGAACTTCATTTTGAAATGTGTATTATTTAATGCTTCTACTTGTGTAAGGAGAGTTTGAGATATCGGATTCGTAAATTTTACGTAATTATATTTATTTTGGATCTTTTTCTTTTTAATATGAATGATTAGCAAACTTTCTTTTTCTTATATATGGGGATTCTTGCATATTCCATAAAGTTCTTTCTGTTTTAGGATTATACTCTTCGGTAATTAAATCATCTGTTTGAATAAATTTAGAATTAGTTGTTTTGATTTGATCACTTTAGAATTTTTAATTGTTTGCATCTCTTTGCTTAATATATAAGGTGATTGCCTTTTAATTTACGCTAACTGATCCAGTTTTTGACATAATTTCCAAAAAATGCCTAATAGATCTGGAATATGAAAAAATTCTTTTTGGTGGCTCTAAAACTGATTTTATGATTTAGTGTTAGTGTTAACAAAAATTCTTAATGTGAGTTGGTTTGTTTAACAATATTCTGAGTTTATTTCTTCTTTGAGATATGATTTCTTAATCAATATCTAAAATCATTTAATTATATAATGATCATATTTCATCAGGTTCCTACCAGGAAAATAAAAAATAATTCAGCAAAAACTAATAATAAAATAAAAAAATGTTAAGTTAAGTGTCTGCTTTACTATATGTTTACTACAAAGACTAGAATAGTGAACATAATTAAGAAAGATTTACATACTATTGTGTAGTGATAAGCATTCTCAATTTTTTTGGATTTATTTTAAATGGGGTTGAATAGCATCCAAAATCTAAAGGAAATTCATTTAAACTTGTTATGGAATTGATTTGTTCTTTATTAGGTTTGATTTCAATATTGTGTTACTTCTTTTATTACTTTATGGAATTTTCAATGCCTAGCATGTAAATGCTTTCAGGATTGATATTAATTTGGGTTATTGAATGCTCTCTTTATTATATTTTAAGTGATAAAGGACTGCAAAGTATGCTTAGTCTATTTGTTACAACAAATGTTTTATTAATTAATGGAGATATTGCATTGAAAGGATTGGGATAGTTTAGTGTAATTATTAATATATAGATTAGAACTTATTTGAATACAGTTCCATCAATTTGATTGTATTATGCGCTCAATTTTCGTGGGCAGGTGAGCCAACTACAAAGAAAACAAATAGTCTTTTTTATATCATTTCAAGGTAAGACTGTTTTAGATTGATGGTCTACTTTTTATTATTCAATATCTTAAATAATACCATTAAAGCAGTAACAGAAAACATTTATGTAATTGTTCCAACATTGGCTACTCTTATTCCTTATATATGGGCTACTGCTAAATTTAGTCAAAGAAGATATAAATAAGCATTTGGATTATTCCTCTTCACCCTTGTTATTTACTTTCCTATTGACGTGTACATAAAATAGTAATAGCTAAATCAATAAAATTAATAACAAATCTAACTATGATTCTATTATATTAAATTATAATTTTATATTTTAATTAATAATTCTCCTAAAGAGATCTATGTTCTACTCTTAATAATAAATAATAAATCAATAACAAATTTTTATAAACTTGAAAGTTTAATTAAACACAATAAAGGTCTTTAAATATAAGAACGTTATAATAATCAAGAAAATTCCTCTCTGCAGAAATCTGAATTAATTGAAGAGTTTCTTATTGTAAGGCGATCAAGTAGAAAAAGGGAACTGAGAAATTCATCTCTTAAATATCAGAGTCATCTTAAGTTGTTAATACTTCATCTAGTAAAAACGCTACTTAATGTTATAAAAGAGTTAGTTTATGTTTATGATATATAAATTAAGTTCTAAATTTACAAATTCTAAATCTTGGTTGAACCAACAAACATACTTAAAATAAGTTTAATCTTAATATAAAAACTCAAGGGAGTTAAATAATCAATCATTTCATTTGAAATGTTAAATTAATTAAGATCATTTATGAATCCTCTACTTTAGTTATACAATAATTTATGGTATTATTGAATATCAATTTGGTTATAAAAATTGAGGTAGATAGGAGATTTATTATATAAGGATTGATTCAAATACGATTTAAAGTGGAATATTTGGAAAAGAAGGTGAGAAAAAATAAAGTTTACTATTTAAAGAACATTCAAGATTTTCATTACTATTGACTTCAGTAGAGGAAATTGATGAGGGGTCTATCTAAAGATTTACAAAGCTTCTTGAAATAGATAAAATCATGAGAAATTCAAATCAACCAAATACAGCTTTTCATTAAACTTCAATAGATTATCGATTTTCATATTAATTACTTTACTACCATGATATTAAAGGTGATTATATTAGTCTTAATCTCATAAGGAATTAAATCTTAAGAATATTGTCACAAAATAAAATACAAAATGTTATTCAATGATTTTAAATTTATTATAAGCAATCATTTATTATTTAAATTTCTTGCTAATATTCACTTATTAATTGTTTATAGTTTTTCTATCTTAATTAAATCTCATTATTCAATTAAGTGATCAGTTATTGACTATTCTAAATTTATTATTGGATTTAATCAACAAGACTCTTCTTTAATCTATATTATTATAACATAATTTCATGATCCTCCATTAAAATTTTAATTAAATCATTACTTACTTATTGAATTTTATTTTCATGCAATTTGATAGCAATATCATTCTGGGATTTTTCAGCATTTAAAGTATTTTACAATTTTATCTTTTAATCTGAAATGCTTGCTCTTAGTTTTTATAATAGCCTTGTTGATCTACGGATTAAATCATGATCTGCAAATTTTTCATACGCAATTTAAGAAAAAGTCAGTGCAATTTATTGATATTCTGGTTCCAAATTATTTTGTAGCTCTTCACCAACTACACTAAAAGTATCAGAATGCTCCTCAATAAAGTTTGATTCTAATAAATTTTGAATATTGTTTACATTTTCCTTTTTCCAAAAGGTCAATGGCAGTATCAATAGAACTTAAAGCTTTGTTATAGGAATTTTATTAATTAGTGTAAACTTAATCTTCCCTTTTTTACCAATCAATCAATGATTATTTAGAGTTCACAAAGTTCTATACTTCTTACTTTTTGGATATGATATCTGCTTCCTAAAATGTAATAGATCTATCAAGACGTCTAATTTCAACTTATAATGTTGCTAATTCTACTTATAGATCATTTATTCTATGTTCATAATATTCAATGTCACTCTATTGTCTATTTGTATAAGTAGTATATGACTTAGTTTCTGTTTCAATTTTATCCTAAATACTTAGCTTGAATAATTACTAAAACATTATTTTTTATCTGATTAAGTGCTAGCATTAGTTCATTCGTGTTTGTTTAATCCAATTGGGATAATAATAAGATAGATCTTCCCATGTTTGATACTCCTAACTAAGTTAACTTGGTTGTTAAGGAGGTCTGTAAACAATTGATTGTTAAAGCTAAGAAAAAAATCAACATATCGTTTTTTTTTATAATTAATATCATAAATAATTATTCAAAACTCAATTTTATTTTATTTTATAAAAAACTTCTTTTCATTTTTCCACTTTTTACTATTCGCCAAACTGATTAGGTTTGTCTCTTGAGGTACATCTTATGTTTTGTACTTATCTTGTTCTTTATAAAATTGCTAATATTTTCTTTATAGTAAGGTATGATTCAAATCAAATCCATTTACTTATGGAGGCCTAGAAGTAAGTGCAATATTCAAATGAAAAAAGAATCCAAAGACTACTCTTATTTATCCAATCAAAAATATAAAGTATGCAGATGGGATAATGATGGATTCATATTATGATTCAAAATATTGAGAGGATAAATTGAAATAGATTGTTATACAGATGATTGACGGAAGGTAGATTAGTAATGCTAATATGAGTTCAGAAATTTATCTACTATTTAATAGATATTTTTTGACTTAAATTCCAATTTAAGGGCAAAACTATCTTAATACACTTTCTAAGACATAGTTCTTCTCACTCATCTTCCAAATATGTGAAAAAAATGTTGCCTAATCTGAATCCAAGTTTTTAAATAGATTATACATGTTATTGTAATTTGTGTAAGTAACAATGATAAACTTTATTATTGTTATTGATGATAAGGCAAATAAAAGAACAAAAAACTTAAATTGCAATTCTTTTTAAATGTTTTGTTCCTATAAAAATTTTATAAAACTACCACAAAATCCAATAACTTCAAATTCAAAGAAATAATCCGTTTGTATGAAAAACTGTATGCAAAATAGCATCAACTCATGCCGTAAAGGATATTTATACATTTAGGATTGTTTTTCTTCAAAGGTTCTAATACAATAGTCTGGAACAGCCTTAACTCTGATTTTTATTGCAACATACAAACTCAATCCCTATATAAATAGTGTGATGATCATATAGGCTATACTGACTCCTATGATATAGATATTTAAGTTTGTGAAGTAACAGGGATTTATATTTTTACAATTAATGTTGACTTATTTTGGATCTACTAAGTGTTCAAAATAGAATCCTATAATGGCGCTCAAAATTGCCTTAATTGGAACTGAAAAAAATTAAATAAAACAATATGTCTTAATTTAGAATTTATTTTGTCTTAAAAATCTATATAAGGAGCTACTTAACTTAAATTCGGTATATTAATATTAATTGGTGTTTATCAATTAAATCATCCATTTTCCATTACTCCCATTTCTTAGAAAATAGTTCTTCAATTTTATTAATGAACACTATAAAATACCATCATCAAAGATATTAATTACTCTCTACTCATTATCTATCCTCCCATCAATAAGATTGTAATTCATAAATTATTCATTTATCATACTTATGTACATATGCATCTTCCCAACACTTGTACTATATTTAGTACTACCAGAAAAATCAATAGATTCCAAATATTAAAAATGAAAGTATTTTGAACCAAACCAAATCAAAAAATTGTCAGTCAAATTAGAATCTCTTATTATCAAGCTTTTCAAATAAAATGGTGTTATCTTTATATTATAATTTACGCTATATTAAATATATTATTCTATTATCTAAAATGCCAGCTCTTCAGTCACTTAAGTCCATGTATTATAAATATATAATCCTGGATTAATTTTTAAAAAATCAATTAAATCTTAATTTCCTAAAGCCTTATTATTATCAATTATTAATATATTGAAATGTGTCAGCCTTTTGAGATGTCGTTTAGAGAGAATGAAAGAATCTATGCAATTGCTAAACTAATTATTAAATTTTTTACTTTGAAATTACTAACTTTTTTAAATGACTCTTGTTTTCAAGAATAAAATTAATTAATGTTTTAAATCCTTTCGAGGTAATGTTATTTGTTGCTAAAGACAATTCTTATAATTTGATTTAATGAATTAATAATTCTAATAATAGTTCACAATGCTCATCCTCAAATTGACATTCATTAAATATTACAACTACAACATTCTAAAATATTTAGTCTGGTTTAATTCTATTGATTAATTATTTTAAACTTGTTAATTAGTATTTAACCCTAGTTAAATCAAGTTAAATTAAATTGCAAAATAGAAACGTTGATTATTCAGGCAAATCAAAATTAATTAGGAAATCATATTTGTATTCCGGAAGTGTTCTAATAAGCGATTACTTTTTGGTTTTCGAAAATTTAAGTTTTTATAATTAAAAGATATTATTGTTGAAGACCTCAAAAAAATTGTAATAGCTATATTAAGTCAAGTTATTTCTCGACAATTCAAGATTCTATATAGTTCTATTTTTATATAATGATTCTATTAATAATTTACATTTAAAATCATCTAATTTAATATTCGATAGATTCAAAGTTATTAAACTATTGTTAATTGATATTCCTTAACATAGAACTTCAAACTTTTTCTAATTAATTCTATTTTCACTTATGTCTAATTCTTAAAGTTGCTCAGTCTATTCTAGTAGTTATTTCAAAATTACAAAAAAATCTAAAGATAATGTAGATTTCTTAATAATTAAATGTTACAAATTGTCTAAAACTTTAATTCTGATCAAAGTTGAAAAGGCTTAAAGAATCTCTCTTGATTCTATGAGTTAGTATTCGAGAATGAAAGATTTCAAGTGTTTAGAATGGATCATTCCATGAAGCAATGTAAGCAAGTAATTTTATGATATTAGAGTATTGGAGACTTCAATTACTTATAATGAATTTTGATTTTATTTTATTATTTATTATAAAAACTAATAAGATTCTAGTCTACATTATATCTTATTAATTGTCAATGACTTTACTTCCTTATGATCCTATAATGCTGTAAAATTGTTCATGTAATCAATTGAATCATTAAGACTAATATCTAATACTTTGAAGGAAGATATATCCGATATGATATCTGATAAAATTAACAAATCATCTGCAGTGAGTTTCAGATTATTTAATATTAATTGTGGAAATTATGAGTGCATCTTTTGTATACATAATTTTATATTTTAAAGAGTTTTACCATGTATCCAATTGCTAGATAAGTCTACAATTTATAAACTTCTATTCTTAAATATTAAAGGCAATTTCTTGGCTATCATTTCATTTTCATCAATCAAATTATTGCTAATATTTAAATTTCTTAAAGAACAACAATTTTACAATCCATTTATTAGATATTAAATTGAATCTTTCAATTTATTACTTGATAAATTCAAATTCATTAATGTTGAATTCTTCCCTAGAGAACTGCTAAATAAATCTAAGGATTATTGACTTAAGGAACCTAAATGGTTTTGAGCAATCTAGAGTGTAGTTAACGTATAAGTTTTTTCAATGAGAATACTCAGCTTCTCAATTAAAATAGATTGATTCAAGCCACAAGCATTCAAATTTAGGTATTCAATTCTATTATACTGTTTACTAAGTGATTCTAAAATTGGTAACATGATTGAGGGATTAGAACTGAAATCCAATTCCTTTAAGTTGGTACATTTAATTTCAAAGCAATCTTATTTACCACTTTGAATTTCATTCTCATCGTTAAATAGTTGTGATAAGATTAAAGATTTCAATCTTGATTCCTTCATCATTGATATCAAAGCATAAACCAAATCATATCTTAATTGATTATGTGAAAGGTCTAAGTACTGCAACCTAATTTATTCATGATTAAAAATATAGACTAAAATACCCTCGCCAGTAATTTGATTTTTGGATACCGACAGACTAGTTAGACTGGTGTTTTCAATCAACGCATAAATAATAGAGATGAATCCCTTAGTTTTAATTTTGTTATTGGTCAAGTCTAAATACATCCATCTAACTTTGTTAGAACTCAACACTTGACTTATCTAATATGCTCCCTCTGTATTAATTTGATTACTGGATAGATTTAAATAGAAAACATTTAGAAAAAAGTTGTTAGGTATTTCTTCAATTCTATTATGGGATAAGTCTATTCTTAATAATTTCAAATTGAGAACTTATTGATTTTAGAATTCAACTAATTAATTATGAGCTAAATGCAGTTCCTCTAATTGTATCTTCATTATTATTTATTCCAAAAATTCTGTCTAAGAAATATGATTTCCATTCAAATTCAATGATTTGATTTTAATTAATCGAACTGACATGAACAACCCTTTAGCTAATAATTCGATCCCTTCATTTTTAATTTGATTGTATGAAATATCCAAGTAATCCAAATTGAGTTTACCTGTGTAATTGAGCATCATGCTTGATAAGGCGAAGATTCCTTCTGAATTCAAACTCATCAAGGGTAATTTTAAGCGTCTAAATAATGGGCAGTATTTAATACCTCAATGAACTTAAATAATGAGTTTTATCCATTATTTAGGCTAATAAAGAGTTTTGAATGTTGCAATGAGATAAATTTATCTCCTATAATTAGTTCTTTCCGCATAAAACATATCTACAAAAATCTTGGACTATCGCAGTTGTGAATGCTTAATTGTTAAACAAATTTAGGATCTTCAATCCTGAATGGTCGATCAACTGGTTTAATTATATAATATTGATACTGCTCTGAATATACAACTTAGTCCAAAAGAATTGATCAAACAGCTCCCTAAGTTTAATATTTATATATTTGTGTTTTTTTATATTAAGCCACTAATCTCAATTGCGTAATATACATTAATGTTGCATCCTGATAAATTCACTTCACTAATTAGAATATCAAGACTTACATCACTCTGTTGTTTATACTCAAGGTGTTGCATAACGTAGTAAAACAAGCTAGAGCGCCTCGATTTATATGATATGCTGCTTCTTCCTAATTTTTATCTAACTCTCTATTCATTTTCATTATAAGTTTCTTAATCAGCTTCTTAAAGTTAATCTAAGGGGAGGATTGATTTTTAACTAAACTACTCATTAATTAATTATTATCATTATCAATTAATAAATACGAGAATCTGCATAAATAAGATTGCACTTTCTAACAACAATATCACTTGGGTGAATATATAGCCATCAAATTCTATCTTCCTTTGAAAAGTGGATAATTAAATTAATTTAGAGCTTTATGGGCATCATTTTTAGAGTTAAGAGATATTCCTAATATTATACAGTTCCTGTTTCCATAAACATTCTACTAATAATAATATTATTAAATACTTGCTTGTCAAATATTAACGCAGAAAACCTCTGGTTAAATAAGCTAATAAGATGAAAGTTTAAGATATAGAAATGATAGATAAAATATAGAAATATCAATATCAATAGGTTTTACCAATATTACTTAATTTTCAGTTAATAAAAATCAAGTATCTAATCAAATTAGATTTGATAGTTGAATTAGTAATTAAAATTTATTTTTTGAACAATTGAATGAACTTAAATTAGCAAATGTACATAATTAAATTTCACCTTTTTATTCATAATTATACAATTATAAATTAACAAATCCAATTTCATTTTTATGCCTAATAATCTTAGTGTTAGAATGAGCATCATTCCTAATATTAAATTTTTTTTGAATTTCCTTGTTAATGCAACTTCAAAATGCATTTTTAGATAGTATAATTTGTTTATTATATAAACTTTAATAATTTAATAATAAATGAAAAGTACATATTTAATCAAAGATGTTATTTATGAGAAGAACCAAGAAAGATAATTTTAATTTCATAAGAACAAGTTGAAGGAGATACTTACATAAGTATTTTATCAAATAATACTAATAGCCTTTGCAATTGAATTCAGAAGGGATTATGTAAAAATTAAAACACAAACATGAATAGATGAAATTAACTCAACAATTCTAAACTCAAGAATAAAACATAGAAAAATCTAGAATAGACAAGAACTTAATGTTAAAACTATTAAACAACAATAATAAATCAGTTAATGGAGCATAATCAACAACACGTTCAATTAATCGAAATTCTAAAATCAATATGTATTTGAACACAATAAATAATGAAAACAAAAGCCTTGCAATTAGAATATATTCACTACCATCAGTAATTAATTCTTAGAGACATCAATAAGAATATTAAAGCCATAAATCTGACTTAAAAATTATGTAGAGATTCCATAAATAAAAATTGTATTCAAACTAAGATCTCATGACTCAATAAATTTCAAACATCTTAGGTAAGGGATTTGAAGGATCAAAATATTAAAATTTGAATTTTCTCAAACAAATTGGAAAATAAAACAAATTCTTATTTTTAATTCCACTATAATTGAGATTGTTTTCAAAGTTTAGTAACAATAACAATAATCCACCTCATTTTTAATTGAAAGCATTTAATGAATCAAAATATTTGGGAGAATCTAAATCCTTATAGCTTAATGATTTTCTTGGTTCTTTATTTGGGGTTGTAGTTTTATAAGATGTTTATACAATTAAATTTACACTTTATAAAATTAAACAAAACGAAGATGTAAATAATAATAAAATTGTGATTAGTTTGAGTTAGGACACTTTCTATTTACTGAATCTGCTTCCCCAATAAAAACTAAGCAATTAAGAGAGAACTTGGAAGCCTAAATCAATGATCCAATCGAATGTTATGTAAAAAAGGAGATAAACAACGAGCAGGTTTGCGTGGGATTATTTGAATACTAGATAATTTAATTTTGTTATTGTGTAAATAAAAAGTATTTAACCATTGATTTACTAGTCCATAAATAAAGAAGGATAATTTATTATAACCGTAATATTTAATTGAAGTTGTATAACCATCCCCATCGAAATCAATTTAAAAGAGTTAATCTGAAATGGATAAATTGTAACTAGATTGATATTTATTTTACATTATGCGTAGTAATCATTGTAATTGCTAATTATTATTACAAAACCAATTACCTTAAAACAATTGTGATATGATGAAGATTTAATTATGAACTAACAACAATTTTATACAAGTTCTTCAAAATAACCCTAATCAGCATTTATTACTTTATAATTATGCAAGAGAAATATTGGATGTAAGATTGCATTAATGAAAATTCTAAAGATAAAAATTGCATAATTTCGAATTAAAAATTAAATTTTAATAAAAAATCAGTATTGTCAATTAGATTAAATTAAATAATGAATTCACTAAACCATTTTCTAGTCTAAAAATAAATTTTAGAGTGATAATCTCTTTTTATCATTTTCAGATCGAAAATATTAAAGACCAAAGTTTAACATACTTATTACTTAGATTAATATAAAATAAACTTTGTAGTTATCTACTTCTTGAAGAACAAGTAAAAAAATGGTAGATAAATCTAATCAATAGAAGAGTGGTGTCTTAAGAAAATTAAATTTTTATCATTAATTGTTTTTCATTATAATAATAAATGTACTGTAATACGGAATTCAGTTGCAGAATTCCTCACCACTAAATAGTCAACAAGAAAATTTTCTATGTCATAATATTCATTTCACACTCTTATTGCTCTGTAAAGGTCTAACATTTTAGATATTCAGAAGCTGAAAAATTACATATGAAATTGGATAAGTCATTATAACAATTGCGTATTTCGGTCAATTTACCTTAATTTCCTGGCAAGAAGCTATTTGGTAGTCATAATGACTCTGAATAAGGAATTTTAAGGCGTGTATTCATTATTATCATTTATCATTAGAGAACTGAATTACAAGACTATTTCAACCAATTACTTAAAATTGATAAACTTTATTCTATCCCGTATATGAAATCCATGTTGCCAAATATCAATGAGAATAAAAATGAACTTACTTAATTCTCTTAGGATAAGTATGATAATATAATAAATGCAATTAGCCCAGAATAATAATACAACTTTATTATTGATTCATTTTAGCAATTAGATACTTTTGTACTGTATTTTGTTCAAGTTATAGATAATTTCAATAAAACCAAATGGAGAATCAAAACAAGATATTCAGATTTGAGAGATATTCACTAAGCTCTTAAGGAATAAATCAAAGTTAATATACCTGAATTCCCTAAAAGAAAAATTTTTGGAATCACAAACGATGACCCCTAAGAAATTTAAAATAGAAAAAGAAACTTAGAAATTTATTTAAATTCCATTTACGCGTATTGAAATAATTTCTAATTAGAGTATTCCAGAATTATCCAGTACAGATATTTTAAATTACTTCATTCAAAATAGTAGAAGAGAATCCTAAAAACTATAAAAATTTGATGAACAAAAAATGCTATTAAAATTAGTATAATAATTATAAATTCATTAGAAACTTCAATAAAAATAATAAAAACAGTAATAAATAGAACAATTGTAAAAAAAACTATTGAATATCGAAAATCCAGAAAGTGATGATAAAACAGAAAAGCAATCATTGAAAATAATCTCATAAATTCCTAGAAAAGGACTCTTTGTCATTAAGGAACTATTGGATAAATATGAAGATGATAATACTACTTTAGTAAGATACGGTTCCTTATCTACTAAAACATAAGAAACTGTAGCTATTTATCTGATACCTTCAGGTTCTTTTCAAGAGAATCGATCGGAGAAGGAGAATTTATAAACAACAACAGAACCTCAAGTTGGATAAATTATCATACATGACCTTAAAAATGATATTTTAACATAAGTTTAGAATAGTAAAGAGGAAGTTTAATTAACCGATTAAAAATGATAAAATATAATTTAAAACTATTTAAATTTCTTTATTAATTTAATTTTTTGAATGCTTAGTTGGTCTTTTTTCATATCATATAAGTCAATATTAATAGAATGATTATGTCATTAATAAAGGATATGCAAGTTACAGAAAATGAGTTCATTAATTTTTCGAAAGGAAATCTATTATAAATTGCCATTAAGTAGATGGAATTATTGTGATTATATTTAAAGATCAGATAGAAAGGTTGTCAATTGTTGAATAGCACTATAACTACTTATTATGATAGTTCTACAAGTAAGATAACGATTGCACTTAATTGTTTAATAACTTTGGTCGAATTTTATCCTTTCATTTTGGATAATAGAATTAATATTTCAAAGGACTAATCCTTTTACAAAAATTAATTGGAATTCAAACATATAATAAGTTGCATCAATTAGTGAATTAAAAAAATTGATTAAGATGATTATTTCAGTTTGAACGATATTGTTTGCATCTGGTTAATGAAAAAGCAAACCAAAATATTCACTTCTCTTACAAAAGATGTCAAGAAGAAATTTAAAAATTTTGTAAAAGGTACAATTATCAAAAACTCGATCCAATATAGTACGAACACAATAAATAGATTGAAAAATATTAATCATATTTCCAAATGGAATTTTAAATGATTAAATTAGTCACTTTAATCAAATTATTAACTATGCTTATATAAATTCATCTTTGAATTGAAATTCAATCGAAAATTTATTTTAGTAGTTACAATGATGAATTTGAATTAATAACATATTCAGATATGATTTATTTAGAATACTTCATTTAGAATAGCTCTATTTAATAGTTGATTAAAATATAAAATATCAAAATATGATTATGGAAAACTTGCTAGATCAGACTCATCGTAATACGAGAAGAGGCATTGTATTCTCCCATACTCGCAAGACTTTTACGATAAAACCAGACTCTCCAAAAACAAGAGAGGCATGCCTTGCTTTAGGTTATGATCCTCAAATATTTTAATTAAAGTATTTGTTTGCAATCTTAAGATTTTAGAACTTTTGAGGAGTTTGCAGAACCGGGTGTGAGTGAAAACGTTCAAAAAATGAGATATGATCATTATATGAAAAAGACTGAAAGTAAAACGGAAAATGGATTAAAATAGGTGCTTTGCAAGAAATTAGCAAGATGCGTAAAGTGATTATCAAGAAATAAAAAGCCATTACAAATCTACATCTGGAAAAGAGCTATTAAAGAGATGAGGAGTATGAGAATGTAATTATGTAAGATTAGTGAATGATTTGATTGAAACCTATAACAAGAAGATGAGTAACATTAATAATGAAGAGAAGGATAACTCGTATCTTTCGTTTGATGATGAAGATCCAATACTTGTTCTGGAATAACAATTAGAAAAGGAGATTACAAAGTATAAAAAGTAATTGCAAGTGAAAGCTAAGGAAGTATAACATTAATTAGAAAACGAAAAAAAAAGATAAAAGCTATAACATGATATGAATGAAAGAGAGAAGAAAATTGAGGAATTATAATAAAAAATAGCACATTAAAAGGAAATTAAAAAGAAAGAATTAAAACGTGCAGCGTAGAAAAAGTATAATGAGATCAAAGAGAAAGAAAGAGAAAAACAAAGAAAATTACTTGAAGACAAATAAAAGTAAGCTGAAAAATTTGAGAAAATGTAACTCATTTATATCTATGTATAAGTCGTAAGAAATTGGAAGAAGATGAACTATAGCAAAAGAAAGAATTGGAAGAATAAGAGAGAAGATATCAAGAAAGAAGACATATTATCCAACAAAGAAAACAAATTTAAGATAAGGAATACAACCAACATTTGGCTTCAACTATGAATTAAATTGAGTAGAAATGGGCTGAGACCTCTTAAAACAAAGATAGATAGATATGGGAATCTAAATTGGAAAGATTAACTATGAGAAGTACCTTGCATGAAGAAAAGTTAAGATAATATAAACTAAAGACCCAATAAAAAGAAGAATCTTTGATGCAATCAATTGTTAAGAAGCTAGCTCATAAAGAAGAGGATTTAAAAGGTTTATTTCATTGTCTTAATTAATAGCATTAAGATAATCAAGAGAAAAGGAGGAATTAATGAGAATCAAAGAAGAGAAATTGAGAAAAAAGAAAATTGAAAAAAGCTTAAAGAATATCAAATCATAATAATTTGATAAAGTTGAAAACTTATAAAGGAAGTTTTAATTACTTGAAGATTACTCAGAAAAAAGAAAAGAAGAATAAGAAAATTAGAAATACATAAAAAAAGAAAAAATGAAATTAAAATAATAGGACTTAATTGAAAATTATTAAAGATAAGAGAGATTAAAGGATCTAAAATTTAAGTAATTGATCAAGTCTACTTAATAATTAAATGAATAAAAATCATTAGAAAAGATGTCTGGAGAACTTGTACGTAGAGCCTAATAAGAACTATAAAGAAAGTTAAAAAAAGATGCTGAAAATTTAGATTAAAGTTTAGTAAGTGTGAGTTAAGCTGATGAAAAAGTTCTGAAGTAAATTTAAATAAATATTTCTAGTTAAATGGTCAGTTAGCTTGAAAAGAATTTATCAAATCTGGCTCAAAATTCTAAAATATTAAATTGACAATAATTTTGTGATGTCGTTGTATAAATTATAATAACTTTTATTTGATTATTAATTTATTCATAAAAGGCATCTTTATGGAGTTTGAACTATTTGAACATCTCTTGCCTTTGGCTTTACAAATAGAAGGAGTGGCTTTAATAATAATTAACATAGAAAATATATTAAATTAATCCTGTTTTTAAGATTGTATATTGAAACTTAAAATACTTATTTTAATAAATTTTTAAAAATTAAACAATTGATAAGAAATTTAAAAGAGATCTCCCTTAAAAATTAGGATAGAATCAAGATGGACTTTTAGATGTAGTTATTACTAAAATTGCTCCAAAAAATTAATAAACAACATTTATTTGGAATATTTATAAAATGGACATTAAATTAATAATTGTTCTACCAAAAGTAATGAAAAATTAGGAATAACTGCATTATATATATAGCAAGTCACTTGATAAAAAATAATAGATTGATATTATTGTAAAAACTTGATAAATCATAGAAAATAATTTGATAGTATATGATAATATTGATAAACTTGTTTGTCTGATTTAGCGACTGTAGAGAAATATAATATTTACTAAAATTGATTTGTTTTGAAGTTTAAGATGATGAGATAACACTTTTGACTTACCTCAAGAACTTTCCAATACGGGGTCAAAATCATGCATTACACTTGAAAATGTAAATTAACACATATCTAGTAGATTTAAGTTAATAGTATGAGTTATGATTCATTTCAAAAAATGATAAGTAGAGAAAGAATAATAACTAATAAAGAATTTACCCTTTTTGTCATTATGCAAATTATATTTACTTTCGATTTTCATAAAGTTTAAAATGAGAAATAAGATATGAAGAGTTATGGAATATTACTCTAAAAATTTATTTGTCAATCCCAAAAATAAAATAAAGATATGTTCACATAATTTTATTTATGCATAAAATGAGATAAATTTGACAAAGAATGTAATAAAGAATACTATTAGGTAATAATTAATGGAGATTTAGATTAGAATTTATCATAATTAATTTATAGAATTTATGATTGTTTTATTTTGTTTGTTCACACAACAATTTCCATTAGTGCTGCTCTAGTTGTATCATTGAAATTGTTTTCAAATAGTTCCAACAACTAAAGTACAATCTAGATTTATTCGTTTCTAGCAACTCTAGCTTGTTCAGCTGCATTGTTGTCCTCCTTGCAAGCAACTTCAAATGATTTTCTTTCAACTTCTTTATTGTCATAGATGATTTATTAAAGAAGAGCTTGTTATTAGAGATCTTCTAATCTTTATTAAGCAAATTCAGCAGCAGCTTAGTCATCAGCAATTTGACCAGACAATCTAACATTTTCTTTTTAAAGACGAATTCTAAGAGGGAATATAGTGAGAATACATACAAGTCTTATTAGAAGAATTTCTCAGCCCAATCTTCAGCATACATTTCTCTCTTTTGGACATCATAAATGCTTTCAATCAAATCGTTGATTATATCAACAATCACTTAGACGTTGTCATTGTCTGAATGTATTTTAGCATCAGAGCATAATTCCATAAGTAATGAAGTGATACTTTTGAATTCTGAATTCTAAGCATAGTTCTTCACTATGAATATGATACGTATATTTACCTAATTATTCATGATGGTCTTTTAATTGAACTAAAGCACCTCCTGGATGTGGTGTTTATAGTTATCTGATGATTTGTTATGCTTATTTTAAACCATTGATCAAACCAATGAGTTCATCTCTTTTTTGTTCATATAATTGATGTTCTTTTCTTCTTTGCTCAGAATAGTTTAATTATAATTGATCATTTCTTTGAATTTCAGCGTTTTTTTATTCAACTTAATTCAATTTGTTGGCTAATTCTTCTTACTTTCCTGGGATTTACCTTTCGTAATCAGCTTTGGCTACAACAGCTTTTTCTTGAATTGAATTAATTAATGAAAACTGATCAGCGCATTAAGCCTATCTTTCTCCATTAGCTTTACTAGATCGTGCGTCTTCATCTCTTAAATCATAGAAAAGCTTGTTCAGCATAGTGTAAATTTATCTGGCAGCATTTCTAATACAAGTTAATGTTAGACAAGTACTCTTATGTAAGTTCTAGCTGAATAGTTTGTAGTATTTGACGACCAAAACTATTTGAAGCTACTTGTTGTAAAAATTCAGGTTGTTGACCTAAAGTGCAGACCAGAAGGATAACCAAAATTACGATTTTCATTTGGAATAATAAAAAACGAATACAGAAATTGCAAATAATGATAAAATTGTATAATACTATATAGATAAATCAATTCATTATATTCCTATTTATCTAAAGAATGCCTTTACGTGACTAAAATCTAATTCAGTCAAATTATTGTTATGACCACAGTCTACATTAATTAATTGTCCAATTTTAGTAATGTAATGGGAAGTCAATTTCATTTCAATGTTGGCTCCTCTTTCAGTAGATTCATTTAGATTATAGGTCTGTTACGTATCATCCATGTACTCTGAGAACCTATCAACAATTTTATTGAATTGATCTAATATTATCTAACCATCTAGTTTTAACTAATATATTAAAGAAATATACATTCTCCCAATCATGTTGATTTCCTTACAAGTTTAGAAACTCAGTCATGGCTTACCTATAAATTGAATATTGTTAAATAAAATTATGTTGATAGTCATGCATTCCAAAAGTAAAGCAGCACGCAAAGAAGCATTAGACCTTCTCCTCAAAATTATCTTAGCTGTAAATCAATAATTCTATCAAAGCTGTGTTGCCATACTTTAAGGAATACATAATTTCAATCATCGAATACAAGAGTGGCTGTAATCTTTCTAATTCCTCAGCCGTAATCAATTCAACATAATTTTATTGATTGTGCAGATGTTAATTAATATTGATATTGATCAAAGTTCTATCTTGTGGATTTTCCATTTGTTATTCCAATTTATTCAATTTTACTATTAAACCAACCACTCTGCTTAAACTGTTCAATAGAACTCTCATTTATTACCGGTTGAGAATATTTGAGTTGAAGAATTTCTAAAAACTAACAGACTCTTTATCCAATGCAGATGTAAGCTTGCTAAAATATTTCTCCTTATAAGGACTGAACCATTCTCTTGCTACTGCTACTTGTAATTGAGCAACATACGGAATGATCTCATCTTTGGAATCCTGCACAATCAATTTATGTCCCCTGTAATTCCAATAGTTCATATATTATGGTTTGTCCCAATCGGTTATGATATTGAGTAGCATCCTTATATGACTGCTAAAACACTTCGAAGCCACTTATCCCAGAGATGAAAATGTTCTATCAACAATTAAAAAATCTAGGTTGTTTAACAATGCCACTTCCCCTGCTATTGATCCACCTAATGAATATCCTTAGATTCCAAACCGCATTATATTGAAGTGTTCTCTAAAGTAATTGACAATGGCGTTTGCATCTGAAAGGAGAGCTTTTGGATTAAGTTGGCCAGTACTTTAACCGTACTGTCTATAATTCCACACAATCACATTTATTTTATTGTATTCATAGAATCGAAACCAATTACACTAGAAATAGTGATTTCATATTACATCGTAGAACATATACTCGTAATAACCACCGTTTGGATTACAAAAGAGAACTGTGTTATTGGTTTGACCATCTAATTGGTTGATCAAGTACATGCAATCAATATTAGACTTTCCATTCATGATCATCACTCTCTTTGCATTTTGATTCTTCAATTATATCATAGCTCTGAATTCATTTAAGCCACCAAATAATTCCAAGGTGCACCACCTCTTTAATTTTTAGTAACCCTTTAATTCTTGCACATGCTTATTTGCGATATTATACATGGCATCCAAATTGATTATCAAATAGTCGACATATTTTTATTCGATCTGATTACCTTTCAATATTTACTCTAAGAGAAACTCATTGTTGCATTAAGTTCGAAGTATCGAAAGTATTTATTTAAGACAATTGTGATATTCTTATTATAATTTGCTTAGGCTCTACATTGTTTAAAAGATCTATCCCTATGTTTCAAACCATTGTACAATGTTAATGTTTGGCTATTTGCGTTGGTATATCATCTCTTCAAATTCCTTGACCTATTATTAGACTATCTAAATAATTCGAACCAAAACCTTACTTTAGCATGTAGCAACCCTTGATTATTTTAGTTGATTCTTTAGTACAATCTAAATGATCCAGGGTAGATCAAGGCCTGGCATAGCAATCTCAAGCATAAGTAGAGGATTCCCAATAGGAAGAATAAACTGAGAGTAAAGTCAAGGAATAAGTGAAGAACACTAAATGTTCCAAATATAAATAGTATAACTATGGCGTAAAGGCAAATAATGTGAGTATCCGTTTTAATATTAATAATAATGAAAATCATCGCTTTAGTGTTAGTTGGTTTATTGTGTGTTTCCGCTGAAACCTAAACAAGATCACCAGGCCAATTGTTGGTTGATCACATCAACAGTTTGATCCTCTCCATCCGTAACGAGCAAACAGAACACGACGACATCTACACAGTCTAATAAAGAGAATGTGGAGATGAATTGGGATTCAGAAAGAAGGAAGTCCAAGACGCTGTTGATGCCTTAACAAGAGCTACTGAACACAAGGGAAGAGCCTAAGCTGCCCATGCTTCAGCCACAGCTGATTTGATCAGAGTCAAGACCTATCAATAAATCCTTGAAGACTAAGTTGAATTCATTACCACCAGAAGAAATGACAGAGCTGCCAACTTCAACAAGAAAGTCTAAAACATCAACACATCATTGTCTTTGATCGACGGTGCTGAATAAATTGTCAATGTATATTGTTCATATTAAAAACTAATAGGAATTCGCCAACTCCTCAGCTTCATTCCTCTAAGTCACAAAACACTTCAACAACATGTTCCTCCAAGCCACCAAAGCTGGTAATGCTGGTGAATATGCTCCATTATTGTCTGTCCTTGTTGAATTAAGTGGAGATGGAAACGTTAGTGTCGATAACATCAACAGAATCAGATAATTATTAAACGAATTAAGAGAAAAATTATAAGCTGCTCTTTCATAATTGACAGATAACGAAAACACCCAAATCGAAGTCTTCTAAGCCAGAAAGAACAGAGTCCAAGACGTCATCACACTTTTGGTCAACGTCTAAGGATAATTGACTGCTTATATTGCCTAATTATAAGCCACCATCACCAAGGAAGAAGACATCATCAACTCAGCCACCAGCAAGAGAATCAGAAACTAAAACTTGCTTAACTATGCTAGTGACATGTGCAATGCCTTCAATACTGAATACACTGACAGCACTGGTGCCAGAAGAAAGGAAGTCGAACTCTTGACCAAATTGAGAACCTTCGTCGAATAAAGAGTTGAAGAATTCAATCAATATGGAGGAGATCCCACTGACGTCTTCGCCAGTTATGCCAAATAAGGATCTGCCTAAGCTGCTGAAGCTCAATTCCTCCAACTTAGAGCTAACCTTAGAGCAAGAAAATGAGTTTTATAAATATCATAAAATTCAACCAATCCTAAATTTTGTTATTTTATACAAATCAATTAAATTTTGGATAGCTACTACTATTGTATGAATTCTATGGCTATTATTACTAATTATACTGAGCATACGGGTTTTGCTATTATTACTAATTATTTGGGACATAAGGGTTTTATTAATTTGGAATCTATTAGTATTACTATTATTATGGATATTAAGGATAATATTATTATTATGGATATTATGGATATTAAGGATAATATTACTATTATTATGTATACTATTATTATTATTATTGAAATGGAATATTCTATTGTTATGTTTATTATTGAATATTATTATTTTATTAATTTATTTAAGGTACAGTAATAGCAGGAACATTAATCATCGGTTTAGCCACTTATATCTTAGGAACAATAATAATTGGACCTTAAGCAGGAGTATTTGAAGGATTATTAATACTACCCTAAGCTTTCTCAGGTTATCCAATCAATTGCTGAATTCTTAATATTCCTAATTTTTCCATTTCTGCCTTGAAATCCTCTGGCAAAGGAAGAACATCTATTTCCAACCACTCTACTTATTTCTTGTAACTAACAAATTAATATTTGATTTTACCCTCCTTTGAATGCTCCAAATGTTGATCCTGGAAAACAAAATCTAAATGTCTAATCTCCCTTGCCACCAAAGGTTTAAACCTTACCACGATAGGTTACAAATGTAATATTTATTATCCTATTCTTTTTAGCAGATTAGTATGCACCAAATATTTCACTTACGTAATCATCAGGACCTATTTCAATTAAAACATTCGTAAGTTCCTTTTTGGATTTTGGGATATTATGACCTGCTTTCAATAGGTCCCCAGCGTTTAATTTGTAAAATATTTCAAATCCACGCACACTAAAATGTAGAATGTTGTAAAATACCATTTTTCTGTAAAGAAAACCCTTATAGCTTAGATCTTCTTGTAACCTCCTGTCTTCTAGAGTTGTTTTCCATCATCAAAAACTTCTAATTTTGAATTTTAAATTCCAATTTAAACTTTATTGGGAGCAATCATTGCCACTAACATTATTTATTTATTATTAAAAATCAATCATCTTTTAACTCTTTCGAATTTCCCTGGCTTCTCCTGCTTCAAATTTGGATTCAACTCTTTTTCTGGACGCTCGTCACTATACATTAATGTGTTTGGATTCTCCTCATCTAAAATAGACTTTGGCATTGGCTTCCCTTCCCAAAAAGGGCCACTAAAATGTTATCTATCCAATAGTTCTTTATGTCTAAGAGTATATATATGCTAGACATACTTTTTCAAATCATCGGGATCAACATTAGCTGCATACCAATTAGAATAATCTACTTCCTTTCTTTTTTCAGCTTATCCTTATACCAAATTCCCATTTTAATAAATATAAGTACCTTTCTTCAAATCAATTTCTTCACTCTTTTACTATTATTCCTATTGCTCATTAAATTTCTAAATGATTTTTTCTGGAGTGACCTCCTCTTCCTAAGTGATCTATTAGAACTGAATATTTGGATTAGTTAACTTCAGAAAATTTATCTAATATTGTATCTCTTTGAGTATTTATTCCTCAGGTTTAGGTTCTTATACAATTTTCATTAGGTTTATAGATGCTCTTTGCTATTTTTATTAAGGAAGTTGGTCAATAAACTTTTTAGCAGATAATAATAGAAGTCTCACTTCCTTCTTAATCATTTAATTAATGAAATTTATAATATTTGAATAATTGTCCTGCTTAGCTCACTTAGCTCATAATAGTTAACCATCTGAATTTTCAACGGTAATGAATGTCTTAATTGTTAATTTGTAATATCTCGCTTTGATGCTTCCTTAGAATGGATGGCATTTATGGAATTATATTGATGGTCATCTCTATCTTTTAAAATAATTCGCTTAGGCAACTTTAATTATTCCATATGGATTTGAATCCTCAGTTGATTTTGGTCCTTTTGCTTTGGCAATGGTGATTATGCTGTTGATTTCATTTTTATCAATTATAGCTATATTTGTTACTTTTGGAATATTTGATAACCTAAATCCAAAGGATCATTATTAATTGCGAAAATTTATCTTCCACTATATACGAATTTGTGCTACTACATTATAATTGCCGATACTTTTCCTATTTTTTGCCATGATCATAATAGGACAAACAAAAATAAACTAACACGATACTATTATTAATCTCAAAAGCATTTTAGGATTGTTTGGAGTTTTAATCTTTTCCATTTTTGTATTCCTCTATCATTACTTTTTAAGGGCCTACACTTTTGTGCCCTTCTATTATTTCTAATAAAAATATAATCTACTCTAAATTATAAATTATTTCTTCAACATTCTAAATGCCATTTTATATATAATTGCAGATGGTATTTTGATAGAATATGTGAAAATAGCAGTTTTGTTTTTATATTTTATATCCCGACTAACTGAACTCTATTATTTTAGACCTTATTTACCACATATTAATTAACTTTTATATATGTCCAATAGCAGCTTGCTCACAATACTAATTGTAATTAGTATAAATATTTTGATGGTCGACAAACACGTATTGCATGAAGACTAGTTGCTTTACATTATATTAATATTTGGGAGCTTATCCTTCTATTTTAGTTAAATGCACTATGAAACTAAATTCTTATCCACCTTTGAATTTGAGATGAATTCTTTTTCATGTATATATTATACTTAAGAGATGCACTTCAAATATCTATAAACAATTGAAACTCAAAAATAAAAGGAATTCTTTCAACTTTATTTATATTGGAAAGCCCATAAGGTTGTGTGCACTAGACATTGGCTTAAGGAATCTTACAAAACTGATTATAATTAAATTTAAAGAACACATTAAACCATTTTTTGTATTTTAAATACAGAATTAGAAAAGGCTCAAATGGATTAAAGAGTATCTTATGAAGAACTGTTATTAATTTACATTAGTTATGTGGCATTATTTTGCAAAAAACCACTTATGGCATATACAGAATTGAAAAGATATTAAAGTTAGAAGTAGATTTAATCTTATTACTTCATTTGCATTCGCTATTAAATGAGTATTTATTTATAAGATCTGATTAAAACTCAGCAATAAGAAAATAATCAGATGTCTTAAGGAGGAAAACAATTACAATCTGAACGATAACTTAGTATTCATGAAGTATTTGAAACGATGAGATTTCAAGATCAATTTATTCCTTCCCTTATTGAGATTTTAAGTGATAAAATTAATTTTTGGACTAAACAATTAAAAGGGTTTAATTCCATTTATGAAGTCGAAAAATTAGCCATAGCTCAAAGCCAAAAGATTCATAAATTAACATATCAAATCAGGAAGTATTGTTCTTTCGATATTAATAATTTAGATCATCTATAAATAAATAATAATGTTTAGAATCTAAAGCTCTTATCAATATTTTGCAGTTCCATAATGAATGACTATTACAGTTCGTAGATATGCGAAACTGCAATCACTGATGTCTATAATATTGAGCATACACTATAAGAGGAAGTAATTACTAATTTAGCATTCATATAAGAAAAGGCTGTTTTAATAATGATTAGTCTAGTAAAAAACAGAGGGAGGATAATTAATAAAGATAAGAAATTAATACTATAATTCTTCGGCTATTAAGAAAATGAAATATTTGAGATAGATAATATATCAGGATTAATGCCTTCCTTTTTTGCTGAATAACATGATAAATTATTGTTAAATTATTTACAAACTGCTAGATCTTCATTTTTTTAAACATTCAGTTAAGTATTCGGAATGAAGAAAGAAGGATCTCTTAATTCCTACTAATTAAAGTTAGATAACAACTTTAGTGAATTGGATGATTATGTGTTAATTGGATGTCTTTCAGAATTTAAGAAAGCATCTGATTATATTCTGTTTAATGAGGATGGCTATTTAATTGGAATGACAGATAATTTTTTTTATACAATTATTAATTCCGATGATTAGGAATTTTAAATTCCAAAAGAAAATGTTGGTTAATTAAATATCTTCTTGATAATTTATAATATGATGGATCTATTAAATGAGTTTAAGAGCAATTATGGAAAAGATGTGATTTATAATTAGCAAGATAAATATTTAAAAATTTGGAAATATGCAAACAATAAGGATTTATTGGAAAATTCTTAAAAGATGCAATATTATTCCACCAAATTGAATTCTTGTTATAATGAAAATAGTTTATTGAAATCAAGAACATCGAACATCACTGTAGAGAGAGAAAGAGCAGAAATATAAATATATTAACAATTAGGTAAGAGTAATGGGGAATAGAAAAAATATAAAGGATCGTAGTTACTGTAATCTCTAACAATTTACAATGTTTCACTTGGAAATTAACTATAACATGTTCTTTAAACCTTAGAAGTAATCGTATTTTTTATGATAGTTTAAAAATAGAACTCATTTTACAGGAAAAGCTAGTATTACTTACAAACTTGTAGGCAAGAAATCCTCTAGGAAATGCTATTTTATTTTAGAGATAAATGATCTAAAAAAAGCAGATGATTTGCTTAAGACAAATGAATCATTAATCAATAATTAATACACAACTTCAATTTAAACAACAAACAAACGTATGTTGTCTTAGATCTTCATTTTTAGTTTTTTATACTCCAGATTTAAACCAAAGTAATCTTGAGATAATTAAAGTTGATAAGGAAGAGGTTACTCCAAATATTTCGAAGCCTACCTAACCTTTCTTTTAGAGACTCATCAATAAATATGAATTGAAACAACAATAATAATACGTCGATATCTTAGGAATGGAATCTGCAAGAGACAGTGTCAGCTATGGGCCATTATCATAAAGAATTAACTTTATCAGTCCCTCTTCAAAGTAATAATAGATGTAAGAATTAATTGAAAAAGACTTCACAGACCTTCAAAACTAATTAGAATATATAAATTAAGATATCAACCAAGAAAATGATGCTCCAGATTCTTCACAAATAAAGAGCAATAGTAAAGAGTAAAACTAAAAAAGTCCCAACATTATTGAAATCTATCAAAATAATAAATTCAACTTAAAAATGGAAGATATTGATAGAGATGCAAAAAAGTCAAAATCCAGCATTACTTCTGGTACATCTGGAGTGTCAGCAATAACAACTATCAAATAATTTCAATAGAATACATAAATGACAGATAGTTTAAAAAAGCTAGCCATTATTAATATTTTAATAATGATTATAATTATAGGTTACATCATTGCCCATTTGATAAAATTAAACACATATACGGAGCAAACTTAATAAACCTTAGCTAATATTAATGGGCCCACTTTATTTAATCGCTATTTTTTTAAAATCTTCACTTACACCTGGAGTCTTGTATTTAATACACTTGATATTATAGAAAGCAGCGATTTTATTATAAAGTCAACAATTTCTGAGATGCAAGATTTAGCTTCAATAGTATTTATTGATTTAAGCAAAATGTATAAAATTTTTATAGGGATCGAGTAATCAGGAATGCTAAGTTATATCAACTTGGATATGCTTTATCAAACAAATGAAAACGTAACTTATACTTATTTTATAAATTTAATTTCTGCTGTTTCTGATCAACTATTTGAAGCCCTCAACTACGATGTTAATACACTCATATAAATTATTGATAGAAATTATTTGGATAACCTATTAATGTTGAGGTACAACCTAAAAAATGTTGTAGTTATGAATTCATAATTAATCGATTCTTTAAATGAAGTCTACTTCTAATAGCAGGATGATAATATTCAAGAATTTTAAACATAAATTATATTAGAAATTGTTTTCTTGCTAGTAATCATAGTATCGTAATTAATTTACTGGAAATAAATTGAATAATATTGTTAATAAATCTTAATACTAGCAGGAAGACTGTAATATACTCAAGCTTAAGAGATGATCCTAAGATTTACTCTTGTCATTGAGACCTTGAAATAATTTTCTGGAAATTAGAGTTGGAAGAAATAAAACTTTTATAAATTATTATTCTTTCCTTTAAATGAAATAGGAATAGATACTGTTCAAAGTCAATCAAGAATTTTAAAGGATTACTAAAGTTCGCAAGTTAGTTAATAGTTTAGAATTAATAAAGCTTTCGAGGAAAGACAAAAAAATCTCAAAAAGAATTTTAACGTCGTACTTAATTCTAAGATAAATAATCCAAATACTACAATCTTCAAGGCTACAATTTTAATCATAATAACATTTTTAATATTTTTAATTTATCTTTTAGGTGGATTTTTATTATTTAGACAATAATAAAATGATTTATTGCCAACTCAATAACTGACCTTAAGCTTTATTAGATTTACATCTTAATTAGATATAGTAGTTAGCACTTCATTAATTACCAAATCGTAACCTCTTCTATATGATAAATTGGTAGAAATGAAAATATACACATCTAAAGAAATAGATAAGTTTAGAGATTAAAGAAAAATTATTAAGATTTTTATCTCATTATATTCGATTTATTATGAGAACATTACTTCAATTTATGAGAACATCATTAAATCAAATAAAATATCAAGTGAAGATGCCAGCACACTGCTCACGTTATATTAAGGAGATTTTTGTTTAGAAATTGGTTCTGATGTGCCTTTTTGCAATTACGATACAATCACAAATTTTAATTCTCTCTATGGAATTCCAGACACTCAAGATGACAACAGAGAGTATCTAAGTAAAGGTATACAAGGAATTGTAAGCAAATTAGACACTTTTTTCAAATAGAATTATCAGTTTGAAATTAATAACACTGAATACTTTCCAGATAAAAATGTAACCAAAGAAATTCTAGTTTCCAAAGATTTTACAAATGCTGTAATGGAGCATTTCTTAGATACAACAGATGGAACAAATTTATTTCTTGATACATTGATGCAAGCCATCAATAAAATAACCAATGATAATCTGTATTTATCATATACCTATTACTTAATAACTGGATTCTTATTATTGGTTATTTTCCTTACTTTTTATGGACTTTGGATATATAGCTCAAATCAAAGATTGATCTTACTTAGGCTAATTCTAACAAATTTACCTATTGAGGTTCTAACAGAATAACATACATTGACCTTACTTAGAAAATTACAATGAAAGAATATTCATTTAGTAAATTATGTATATGATAAAATTGTTTATGAAGTATATTTAATATTCATAATTGGAACTCAAAATGATTTAATATGTCCAAGGTATTCTTCGCCGGTAATTCTCACTTGAGATGTACAAATCTCTAGTTCATCGGCAATCATGGCTGCTAAAATATGAGGACAAAATTAGAATTCACGAGCATTGAATTTATCGCAATTGCATATGTAGTTATTGGCCTTGTAGACTTTACTAACCTTTTAGTTTTATTCTGTGATAATATAAATAGCTTTATTAGCTTAGACTGGAATTTTGGTGATGGGAATCTTGTTTTCAATCAAGTAAAATGCCTCCTCATAGTGTTTGTGGAGATCATACAAATTTTTATGAGCCTCCAGAGATTTATCATCTGTTTGCCCCTTGAATAGCCCAACCACTCTTGAAACACATTATTATGTTACTTATAATAATTCCATTTAAAATTAATATTATTAGAAATCAGAAATTCCTTTGAAATGTAACCAGGTTTGAAGCAATTATTCTTGAGAACTAATGGCCTTATTTCAATAAAGCCAAAAATCAGAATCACTGACAATTACACACTCTCTCTTGTGTATTCACCTGGAGTGGGATACATTTGCCAAGTGATTCAAAAGAATCCAGATCTATTATATGATCTTACCATTACAGGCAATTCTGTTGCTCTTTTATCAGATGGATCAAGTACATATTCTATCTTATTTTAGGATCTTAAATCAAAAAACCTTCCTGGATGATTCCAAATTTAGAAGCCATCAGTGCATTATACAAAGCCTTTTATGACATCGATGCCTACCCTGTAATTTTGGATAAGGAAATCATGAATGGTGCAGATGACTATTTGCTCATCATAGATAATCTATCTACAACATATAAAGTATTATCCCTTCTATTTTTAGACAATAGTATTGGTGGATATTGAAGAAAAATTGACCCAAGAGCTTTTGCAGAAGTTGGAAAATGCCAAAATTGATTGTACAGTCGTTATTAGTAACACTCATTCATTGGTTGAGTAATTGAAAGATGCTGCTCTTATCAAAAGTGCCCTTGATTCTCGTTCTATTTTAAAACCGTCTCTAATTGAACAAATTAGACTTAAACTCAAAGGAATAGATTTCTCACAATTACCAAACTTCTTAACAGCTACACTAAGCTCTGCCTATGCTGTTAGTTTGAATGATATCCATCGAAATGGATTATTTCATCATACTGTAAAGAATATCACTCCATCCCAATTCATATCCAAACTAAATGATTTGTATCTGTATGGGGAGATTGCATACTACAACAGATGGACACCCAAATAATTCTTATAAAACAATGACATTAATTAGAATTCACTGGAATTACATAAAAGATACAATGGTGTTATTACTATTGCTTTGAAATTTAATCCAAGATCCCTAGAAGACCTATACAGAATCTATGAGCTATCTTATAGGAATAATGATATCTTAGAGATCCAAAAACTATTTGAAGCTGATCCCAAGAAAATCCGTGAAGTCACTCTAAAAAAGAATTATGCCGCTATAGTCACAAATGGAACTGCCATTCTTGGCCTTGGTAATATTGGACCTGCTGCTGGATCCCCAGTGATGGAAGGCAAATCTGTTTTATTCAATGCTTTGGGTGGAATTGATCTGATGCCCATCTGTTTCAAGGAAAGAGACCCTCATAAATTGGTGTAACTTATAAGATAGTACATATATACACAATTATAATTTAGCATTGCGCCAATCTTTTCAGCAATTAATCTAGAAGATCTGAGAGCTCCTGATTGTTTCCCCATCGAAGAAGAAGCCATCCATAGCATTCATATTCCTTTGATGCATGATGATTAGCATGGTACTGCTGTTGTGAGTTTGGCCGCACTCATCAATTACTTGAAATTAACAAAAAAAAATGTAAAGGATCTGAAATTGGTTATCAATGGAGCAGGGTATTCTATTAAATTTATTCGTAGTGCTGCAGGTGTTGCCATATGTAAATTACTACATGGTCATGGTGTAGAGGACATTCTCATTTGCGATACTGAAGGTATTATCTATGAAGGAAGACCAAAGAACATGAATTCATTTAAAAATGATCTCGCCAAATTTACGAATAAAAATAAAATAGCTGGTAAATTGGAAGAGGCTGTCAAAGGCAGAGATTTGTTTGTCGGAGTCTCCAGTGCTGTATCAAATACTATTTATTGTTATTTTAGGGAGCATTAACATAAGACATGGTGCGCAATATGAATAAGGATCCCTTTATTCTTGCATTAGCAAATCCTCTTCCAGAGATAATGCCAGATGATGCTATTCAAGCAGGAGCCTTTATTGTAGCTACTGGAAGATCTGATTTTAACAATTAAGTGAACAACTCTTTGGCATTCCCAGGAATATTTAGAGGAGCTATTGATACCAAAGCCAAAGAAATCAATTTACAAATGAAGGTATCTTATACCATTTAATTTGAAAGATTGCTGCAGCATATGCAATAGCAAATAGTATCAAAGAGAGTGAACTATCGCCAACCAGAATATTGCCAGGAGCATTGACTGCTGAGATTCCAGCAAATGTTGCTAGGGCAGTTGCAATTGCAGCTATGGAAAGTGGCGTTGCACAAGTCAAAGTAGATCCAGAGGAGGTTTTCGATAATACAAGAAAATTGATTATGGAGGGAAGCATACCAACATTATGACGATGATTGTTATAAATAAATGTAATGAAAAATTTGTAAAATAAAATTATATAAATCAATTTACGAACTTTGCATTACCAGTTTTATGTTACTAAGCTGCTCCCTATCCTTATTCAGCTGGCTTTAGAATTTAGAAAGAACACATTAAGGATTCATCAATTGACATCATAGAACCTAAGATTTTGAATTATCATTGTACCAGCATTGTCAAATTCTCCACAATAGTTGGGTGCTGAAAATAACGTGACTAATTATCTTTTTGAAAAGAATTCATATCCATCCTCAACCACCTAAGAATAGCATTGTTAATGTATATACCTGATGAGCTCTACATATGAGATCTAATTCATGTTTTTTTAAGAACACTTGAACAATTTCTTGACTGAAAACATATGACACTCCTCTCTCATTGTCTGCCCAACCTTATACATCTTTGTCTGGATCTGACCATAACAAATCACACAATAATCCAGTGTCTGGCACATCTGTTGGTCTCATAATTCGTCTAATTTATTCCAAATTTGAAAGTTCAGGAGACAATCCCCCATGCATGCATAGTATTTTTTCATCTATCAATGCTGCAACCGGTAGACAATTAAAACAATCTGTGAATGTTTTCCATAGCTTTATTGTGTATCTTCTTTTGCCTATTGATCAATAATTTTTTACATTCATCATAAAATCCATAGATCCTATTGATTGATGCACATTCGTGATTACCCCTCAAAAGGAAGAAGTTCTCAGGATACTTGATCTTGTAAGCTAGCAATAAACAAATAGTCTCCAATGATTATTTGCCTAAAATTAACATTAATTTAAACCTCGATCTACATAATCACCTAAGAATAAATAATTGCTTTCAGGTGGATACCCTCCGTATTCAAATAGTCTCAACAAATCAAAATATTATCCATGTACATCTCCTAAATAAATATATGATGAGATATCTACCGCATATTTTTAAAGGAGCTTCCAATTCTAACAAAATAGGTTGGGATATGAAAATGTCTCTGGCTTTGATGCAAAGACCTCTTACTTCAGCTTCACTTAGATTCACATTCTTTCCTGGCTTGCTTCCTCTCACACTTAGCAACCTTTCGATTATATTGTCCACATCAATTTCACCTTTACCATCCTTATTCATTTAATTAATATAGAAATTAATTGTAATATTTAATTAACATAATTAATTTAATTTGTTTTTAGAACTAAGAGATTTTATAAAGTACTAACTCTATTAAGAAAGGATATAAATATATTATTTTTCATTCTGTTATGGACACCTTGGCTTCATTCTGTAAGATTTGATCATAAATCTCAATTAACTTTGATGCCAATCTGTACCCTCCAATGGCAAGATTTTCTTGGCAAAATTCAATCGCCTGCTTCTCATAATCGCTGTTGTAATTGTTCGATTTCTAAAGCATAGGGTAAACAAATTATTAGGCCTATCTGAATCCCAAAAATGACCACACTGCAGGATTACTAAGCTATAATACGTCAAATACGTCATGTCATAATTCGAATATTTGTTAATGGGGAATTTTTAAATTATGTCATTTGACCACTTATCAAGATATTCATGATCTGATTAAGATAAAGGTCGAGCCATATATGTAGTATTAGAGGCCATAGTGAAAGACACAGAATCCCAATAAGAGTGGAAATTTACAAAAGTGCCATTTTTTAACTAAATCTTAAGAGATATCATACTTGAATCTTCATGAAGTTGCCTCCAGCATCTCCATTTGGGAATGTGTCATTCCAAAATGTTGTGTCATGTAATGGTTAATGCATGTCTCCTATTACATGCAGTAAGACTCTCATCATCTGAGCCTTAAATACAGTATGGCGATTCTTGGCAGTCTTGGAATTAGTCAAAACAGCTGTGGCTTGATTTATTGCATAGATTGAATTAATGTTCCTTCCTTAATCCTCAATTTTGATTAAGAGTCTAGATATAAGTGCACACTCCATACCCATCAGGATTGATTGGCTTATCTGTGTAATGCCAATCATTAAGAAAAGAGGTTCCTGTCTCCTTAATGTCATCCATCCATACTGCTGCCTCAACAAAAGTGTTTGTGCGACCATCAGTGAGAGAATTGAAATCCTACACCAGGGAGTCTGCCCAAGCTAGCACATCTGGTCTAGTGTCTCTTAATTAATTTTTAGCTATTTAGGCTGTCATCATGTGTCCCATATCCCACCAACATTATACGACAGATAAGAATGCCCAAATGATAAGACCATTCATTTTAGATTGATATTATTATTTCAGATTCTGTTCACACACCTAAATACTAAGGTTTTATAATCATATCAATTCTTCTAATTGTTTGATTTCAAAATAATTCGTATGATGATGTGATATTAACTTGTTATTTTTTGAATATATTTAATTAGTTGATTTATAAATAATGGATAATATGCAAAGAAATTACTAAATTAATTAATTCTACAAGAATTGTAAGAAGAGAAGAAGCAAAACTTAATTTTAGTAAGATTAATAAATTGATGAGATTTTACAATTGATTGAAACAAATTATCATTTTCTTTTTAACTTCTACTCTGAACTCTATTTAAATATTGGTTTTAATCTTCTGTCCTTCTCTTACATTATCGTAGAGTATTGAAAATGACCCTGTAATTCTTCTACTCCTTGGATTCTAGCATAGGTGATTTAGCAAATCTAGGAGAATCTATAAATTTCAATACCTTCTCTGAATTAAACTTACTCCACTTTTTGTTATGGAATTCCAGGTAAAACTTTGGAATGTCTAATGAGTCATAAAAATTAATAAATGCATATCCCACATTGCATTTGTTCTATTATCATTAAATTAAAATTTATACTGTAAAGTCAATTGGTAAATAAAAAAAATTGTAAGTATTCTTATTATTGCAGTCTATCTCCTCAAGAAGGAGAGGCTAAGAGTATTTGTTTGGTATATTCTTTATCATCAAGGTTGTACGATTGTCTTTTGGTATCTTGCCCATTATTATATATTTTACATTCTGTAATTGAATTTAGAATTGGGTTGTTTGTTGCTAAGGTTCATAGCGTCTTTTATTTTTAAATTGAAACATTTAGAAAGAAGTTGGCATAGTCGAACTAAATACTTCATCCCAACCCAAAGAGGATCCACTTATTGAAAGATTCATCTCCTGAATCTATTGATTTGAATGCTTAGATAAGGTTTCAGGCAGAGTTGATCCATTCGAATACAGTGTTCTAGATCTATTTTTTACGACTGGCTGTGAAGGTTGTTGATTTGTAAATTAATCCACATCTTCATCATCATCTATATTCAATTGCTATATGATTAATTCATCATTACTTTCAAGCAATCTTAGACTTGACTCATTTAGGAAGCCACCTCTTTCTTCTGTCCTGTGGGTTTAACGAATTGAGAAAGGACATTTGGGTCAATCCTAAATACAATAGGTTTCATATAATTAAATAATTATTATATTTGAGGAGTACAAAATATTTATCAAATGCTCATATGTACAACTCCAATATTTTTGTCAAGAATTGCCTCCTGATAAAAATAATCGTATGTAAATACAACAGCATAATATCAAATTAACACAAATTAGATTTATGAATTTTATAAAATATTAATACAAATGGATTAACTTATAATTGTAATTCAAAAAGTAAAACTATAATCACAACAATATGCTGCAAAAGTGAATGAGTAATAATCAATTATATTTAAGTATAATAAACAAGAAGAATGTATTTTCTTTAGTTCTAGCTAAATCTTTTTGAATTGCATGCTGTAATCATAATTTTGATTGATTATTAGAAATAACGTAAAATCTTGTTTATATTAAATATTTTTTGTATTTATAGCATTTATTAAATCATAGCTATGATTTAGTTATGATAAAAACACCATCTTATAGGGCCTGTTTCCTGATATTCATGCAAATAATTAAATCACGTATTTTTTCAATCTATACAAACTCATAAAACTAAATTATTGTTTAAAATAAGTTTTATAAGGAATATATTAAATGAGAATTTCATTGATAGCTAACTTAACAATTATTGCTCATTCGTAACACAAGAATTCCGGAGAAGATACAATCGCTAAGCTGTTAGTCATCGTGCCTTACATTCAATACGTATCCCTACTATTGCCCTAGCATGGATGGTAATATTGGAAATATAACGATGGCTATTTAATTTTTCTATCAAAAGCATCCTCTTATTTTACGATCACTCCCTTTTTCGAATTTCAAAATAATTTCATTTACTATCCTTTTACAATTTTTAGTCTCATTATACTATTAAGTCTTTTATTTTACTTGAGTTTTTTTAGTTTGGAAGTGAGTTCAAACAAATAGAAAGTGAAGTATTTGGAAGGGAGGACAAGTCTCTTGTGCTCAATAATATTATTCACGATTTACACGCTGCAAATCCCATGTTATAAGTTTTACATCTAACAAATTATAGATGCTAATAATAAAAATTAGACAAATCAACTAATAGTTAATATTTGCACACTAATTTTATATTCTGTTTATGTATTAGTATGTGAATATTTTCTAAGAATGTATTCTTTTATTGCTTATCATCCAATGTAGTAAAAATTTACTAAGTTGAGAAGTTCAATTATATTATTGAATTTAATTGCAATAGTCTTGACTTTAGATAATTAATCCAAATTATATAATCTTGTTGGTTTGTTTATATTGCATCTTATCTTTATCATTAAAATCATAAATCATTTATACTATTAATCTGATGTTCCACATAAAAATATGGTAGACTTTGAAATCTCATTCACACTCGAATCATTGGCGCTTTTAATAACCTTCAATGTTTTATCTGAAAACCAGATTTTTCCAGAAGATTAAATAGCTATTTACATTATGTTTATTTTGAGTCTGGGAATAATTTTGGGTAATCACATCTATTTGTTTCTTTTTCAATATAATTTCAATGAAAGAACTAGACAATTAAATCAAATATATGAATTGTACTCCTACATATGCTAAATTAATTCAAACTCTATAATTATGCAACATTTACTCATCTATCAGTTGATTAATAGTTAAAAGTTTTCAAAATTTAAACATAAGGCTCTTATTAGTAATAAATGTTAAAATATGGTTGAGTATTACAAGTTAGGATTGTATTTCATTACCGAAATTTTTCTTGATCTCATTAGTGGATAAAAGAATGAATTGGAGGAAATATAATTGCTTTTCGTTTCTTTTGTAGCTCTTATTAGAAAGAAACCCCTTGTTGCCTATGTAGAATTTAAGAGATTTGAATAAAATAGCAATTATACTAAATCTTATTATTTTGGATTCATTAAAAACAGAATTGAATTATATATACAAAGAAGAATATCTGCTGTTCAAAAAATTTATCAGAATGAATAATTATAATCAGAAAAAAATAATGTTAACATTGAAAAAAGAATTACAACCCTTGAGCTTTTTTAATTTTGTTAATTGGAGGAGATTTTCTAAAAAGACCTTCTGGAGATTATTTAAACTAAAATAAAAATATGGGAATTCCAAATCTAAGGATGCCAATCAATCTATGATTTCTAAACTGTTGCACTTCCTTTGAGTAAAAAAATAGTTGATTGTATTATTTATTTAAGAGGATAGTAAATCAATGTAATAAAAGACGAGTTTATAAAAACATGTGAAAATATTTTAACATTGAAGATTTGCTCTATGTTTCATAGTTTTGTTCTAAATGATTACTATAACTCGTTTTTATGTGAATAGAAAATTTCTTCTATCATGAAAGCAGAAGCTGTTTCTCAATAAAAAACATTATCAAGATCTACTATCTTATTAGATAACTCCGTATTAGTCATCGTAAGTATGGTTAAACAATTAGGGTAAATACTGAATAAAAATAAAAGCCAACTTGCAAATTATTTTGGATTTTCATAGATGGATTTCAATTAAATCAACAATATAAGAGAACTGATGCCTTAACATTTTGGTTATTAACATGATGGTTTCCTATAATCCTATATCAAAGAGGCAAAAACAGATCTTGTGTTTAGAGATTCAGTCACATTTGCTAAAGGTAAAAATGGATTTTTAATACCTTAATATCTTAATATCTATAACAACTACAACATTTTTGATGATTTTACTTTAATTGGTAGTCTAACAAAAATAAAAGAATCTCATAATTATCTTTTATTTGATGAATTTGGTAAGTGTATAGGCATCACTCAAGAGATGAGTTAATTATTGATACCAAAAGAAAACTAAGAATTTTTCTTATAGAACATTGAGTTATTTTTCATCTACATGTTTCTTCCACATATTCATATGTATGTTAATGACATGCTTCAAAATAATAATAAAGAAGGAGGATTTTTATAAAAATCAGTCATTCTTTATGTTTATGAAGATTTAATATAATTATCCAGAATCCATGAATCAATTTTCTCAACTTATTAAGCTTAATCAATAAAGTAAATTGAATAGACTAAAACATATACTTAATTTGAATATCTAAATTCCATGATTAATAGTCCTAGAAATGGAATGAATCAGAGATTGATTACTGATATAAAGTCAAATTAAAATTAGTATCAGGATGAAATTATTATGATAGATACAAATAGAGAACCATAAAATATTTCAAAATAAGAAGGAAAATGTGTATCGACTGCGATAGTATAATAGAAAGAGTAATAAATGATTGAATTTTTAAATGCTATTGACGTAATCATATAAATATCTTTAGGATTTATAAAAGACCATGTACTTATGCACTGCCAAAATATAAATGGCTGAAATAGGTAAAAAAGGACACAAATAAAATTATTTTATTTTAGATTGTTCTGATTTTATTGATAGAGGGAATCTAAAGGAAGATGAAAAAAAATAAATAAAAACACAATAAAGTTAATTGCGTAATGTTACAACTAGAAATTACAACCGAAGACCAAGTTAAATCATTTAATCCTAATCTAATCACAAGAGTTCTGAATTGTAGATGGAATCTTCAATAATGAGCCCCTTAGGATCTCAAGTGCACTAATCAAGTTTTCTTGATAAAAATTCTAGGTCTAAACAAATATTGAATTATATTAACTAAAAGAGAACTAATTAAATTGGTAGAATAACTTAAGTAGAATCAGAGAATCTGCATGAAGAGATTATTAGCAATGATTTTAACTAGATTATATAAAAAAAGAATGAACTTAAATCCAACTAAGACCTTTTGCTTAAATCTTAATCAAGTACTAAGTCAGGTTAATCTGGATAAACAGCAATTGAAATAGTAAACAATTTTAAAACTCAAACTTCTTTAATCTCCAGCCTAACAATTATCTCTATCTTGAAATTAATAATAATCTTATTGTTCCTTGTATTCATGTTCATCAATTTGACCTAGGTCATAACCTTCAATAATCAAGCCAAAAATTTCTTATCGGATATTAATTTACCAATTAACTTTAACAAATATTTCTTAAATGTATTTACTCATTCTTGGATAATGCTAATGTAGAAAATTAAGATCTTAAATACAAGCTAATTTATTTAGAACCAACTCTAAGACTAAAGTGTTAGTATGTAGAGCACATTTTAAAATCTGACAATTATGTATGGTAGCTTTATAGCCCTAGAAGAAAATCATTATTTAGACGAAATCTCAATAGTGCATCTAGATGAAAATCTCTAGGTACAAGAAGTAGAGTTTACTGATTATCTGTTTTACCTTGAATAAGTAGGTTTTAGATTATTATAGAGTGATAATGAAAAAGACTTTTCAAGTAATCTTTTAAAATACAGGATAAATTTTGAAAATATTATCATAAACAATGATAAACTGATTTTATCTTTGAGCAAATATTATGAGGTTCAATAAAATGGAAAGATATCAACATTTTTTAATTTAATTCTAGTTTAAATAATAGTGATTGCTGTTGTCATAGTATCCTAATTATTTTTTTGGAGAAAAATAGAACTCTATTGTTAAAGTATACTGATGTTATCAAATAGACTAAGTGAAAAAGCAGCAGAATAGTAGATCAGCAAATTCAAAATCATAATCTCAGTGATTAAGTAATTATATGGCGAATTTGGCTATAAATAGAGAAATTGTTATAAGCTTTGTTATACTGATAATTCCTTCAAGAAAAAAAATTTTAGATCGTTATCCAAAATGAAACATCGAGCATCCACTTTACAACAAAATAGTTAAAAATTATTTGAAAATAAAATGAAACATTCTTCAGTATCAACCATTCCCTTAAATTCAAGAATACAAAAACCTTCCATCAAACTGATAATTAAAAGTATTACAGTATTGTGCTTTGTTATCGTAATTGTGTTGTATTTCATTGGCTGTTATCTGATATTTAAGGATCAAACCTAAAAATTATCTCCTCCTCAAGAGTTAGCCATGAGTTATATCTAATTTTACATAGATTTTGAAAATACCATTGCTATTTCATTAATAATAAAATCAGAATTTTAGATTTATACTTTCATGAAAGACACAATTCCATTCTATGCAAAGACAATCAATAAATACTTAAATTAATTGAACACTATCCCTCTTTTGCTAAGTGTGTATAGCTTTGATCATAGTAATTTAAATGATATATATGATCGTATCATAGAATCTGATGCTATGGAGGGAGATGACGAAGCATTTTTATTAAGTTTGTATAATGAAGATTTTTGCTAGTTATTTCAATCGCAAATTGCATTTTGCAATAAGGATATGAGTAAAATCAATTTTGAAAGTAAATTTGGATAATATGCATCCAAAGATAATAATTCTGACTATCTCAGTAAGGGAATTTCTGGTATGGTGAGTAAACTGGATAATTTCTTAACCTAATATTATGAAACTGAAATTCTAACAGGATAACCAGTTAATGATTTTGCCTTATTAAATTCTTAAATCAACACATAAGATTTTAATAACATCATAATATAACATTATCTTGACACTTATATCGGATTTGAAGCGTTTATTGCTAGAATTTAAGATTGCTTAATTAATGTGATTCAAGAACAGCAGAACAATTACAATATATATCAGATAGCAGTTGGTGTAATTTTTACTGTGTTTTTACTTTCCTCCTCAGCTTTTATAGTAGTGAAAGTGAATTTAAGGTTGATTTACATTAGACTGCTAATAACTCTGCTGCCAATCGAAATTATGCTTGACATATATACCATATCTTTGTTGAAACTTCTAAAATGAACTATTTGTTTATATTAATACTTGAAATTCTATTTATTTATTTATTTCTTTTTTATATTTATTTCTTTTTTAGATTTATATTCATAAAAGTTTGATAAAATGAATAAGGTCTTTTTCAACGTAGTTCAGATAATGAAATCAATAACATTTCTTTTTGATATCATGATAAAAGGATCATACTGGCCATCCAAATTTTTATTTTAACATACATAAAATTAACTATTCATTCTAGTAATAAATATTTTAAACTCTTTGTGTTACGTGTAATTAAATAATTTAATGAAATTGTTCCTACTTTTATCACTAATCCTTTTAGTTTCTCAAGGTAGAAAAATCATTAAAAAACACGTCAAGGGTGAGAGACATTCAAGATAGCCTGATTTCGATCCCAATTAATTAAATTCAGATGAGTTGATTGATAAGTTTAGTGAATCTGAAATCTAAATTTCAGAACACTTGACAATTGGAGAAGACATTATTGATATAATAAACAAACAAACAATTGAATATGAAAGCTAAACTAATTAATAATAACAATAATTATAATAAGAAGATATAACATCTACACATGAACAATCAGATTAGATTGATCTAGAATAAGTAGAGTTTGACTAATTACTACAATAGCTAGCAAATGAAAATCATGACATAGATGTCGAAATACCATTTGTTGAAGAGGGTGTTGTATGGGGCGATAAATTAGATGAATAAATTGAAACTAAACCTGGAGATTAAATTTAACATCAATAGGATAATTAATAAAATAGCGATTAGATTGAATAGTTTAATGATGCAAATGCTTAAAATAATTTTGAACCCATTCCTCCTATTGTCCTTGAAGAATAAATATAACATTAAGAAGAAGTAAAATAATCAGAATAGGTTGAACTATAATAAGAATAATAAGACATTCCTATTTAAGTAAATTAGATCGATCAAAATGATTAGTAATAAACTATAGAAATCAATGGTTAAGTTGAAAATGAATTTAAGGAGGAAGTATAACAAGAGTAAATTCCAAAAATTGAAGAGCTTATATTATAAGTGACTGATCCTTAATTAGAGAATTAAGTTGAAGATATACCTATCTCGTAAGATAACCAACAATTAGAATCCTAGAAATTAGAGGAACCTGAACAAGTTGTCAACTAACATTAAGTTATTCACTAGGATACACAAAATGGCGACCAAATTATCAATTAATAAGATGTAGACTAAGAAATTCATTAAATTACAATTGAAAGCACATAAGAAAATTCATAATAAACTGATCAAGCAACAATTTAATAAACCGATGAATAAATTCAAGTTTAAGAGGACATCCCACAAAATTAAGAATAACCAATAACCAAAGATCAAGAAGATGTTGTAATAGAAGATAATATAAATACTGCTTAAATTATAGAAGAAAATTTTGAATAATTAGAAGTTTAAGAAAATGAACCAATAGTTGAAAATAATGAAGACATTCAAAATCAAGATGTTATTCAATAATAGGAATAAGAGTAAACCTAAAAAAATGAAGAAATAAATGAGACTTTAGATGAATAGTTAAATTAATAGTCAGAATAAATATCAACTCAAAATTTAGATTAAGAAGTTAAAGAAGATATATAAATCATCCCAGAATAAATAAGAGAAGAGAATTAGGATCAAATTCCAGAAATTGTATAAGAAGAATATTAAAATGAAATTAATAATAATGATTAAATAGAATAAGAAAATTAATAAGATTAAGAAAATATTTTGATTGATCCTCATGCCAATGAATATGCAAATAATGGGCACTTAAATCATGATGATCACCATCATCATGACCATGAACATCATCATCATCATCATTATGACCATGATGACCATCATCATCATTACCATACTCAAGACATTAATAATGAAATATTAAATAATTAATCTCAAAATGAAAATTAAAATGATAGTAATCCAACAGATCCCAACAATTCAATATCACAATAACCTTCATGCTCATTCGAAAATAAATTATCGTGCTCAGGAGATACTCATACATAATATAGTACTGGAGTGGAGACTGAAAATCAATCTCTAAATAAAGAAGAATTGTTATAATACCTTATAACTCATTCCTATTTATAGTATTCTACAAATTATCCAATGTATTTTTTTGGTATTTTGGCTAATGCATTTCTATTTTCTTTGGTGATCTTAAAAAATCTTTTCACCAAGAAACAAATTCCATATTCAGTAACAATTATACATTTATTATTAGACACAAATTAGCAATGAATTATATAATGAGGATAATGGAGACAATTCTTAACTTTAATTTTAGATTAACTAATTAGACACTACTTTATTGGAAATAAATACTAAATTGGATACTCTGACAAAATCTTATCAAAAGATGTAGAAGGACCATCAATTGATTAATCAAAGTATTCAATTCTATATATATTTATAGTTATAAATGACCTTTAAACAAAAGTACTTGCTAATTTAGAAAAAAGAAAACTCAAAGAATCTTGTAAATCTCTGAATGAAAGTAATGAAGATGATGCAGGAGTAAGATAAAAAAGAACATAAACACAGACAAAACCTCGATAGCGACCGACAACCCCAATTTAAAGATAATATTGATTATGTATATTTAATTTCAAGAATAATACCCTTACTAATTATCAAATTTGAGTAATTTAATCTATATATATAATAATAATAAACAAAATGGAAATTGAGGAAAAGTACAACTTGCTGATAATTGGAGGAGGACCTGCCTCTGTTAAATTTTTATATAATTTATTCAGAACATCAAGGTAGTAGTTCTAATTATAATTAAGACTGCCTGAATATATGAATGGATTAGGAATTGGGATTGTTGAGAAGGGCAAATGTTTTGGTTCTGGAAACCTAGAAAATAAGATGAATTACACAACATATCCAGCAACTGAATTGCTGAAGTTGATGTACTTTAATTAAACCAATTAAATGATATCAATTTGTAAAGATCTAACAGATACTCAGGCATATAAGACTCTTGTTTAATATGGAGAGAAATGTCCTCCAAAATCATTAGCTGGATTCTTTTTAAGATTGTTGGGAAATGCGTTGTTGAAACATATATACACTTTAAAAAAATTGCGAATATTTCATTCTCAAAGAGAAGCAATAGCGATAAGACTTTTGGCTGATGGGTGGTTTTAGATTAGAACACAGAGCTTATCGTAAAAGTTTTGACATAATTTGTAGAGCTGATACTCAAATCAAAGATAAATACCGAACAATAAAAGCAAGAGTACAAAAAATTAATGATTTTTAAGCATGTATTACTGTGCACAGGTAGAGAGTAAACACCAGCAGACATATTTTGTTAGGAATAAGGATTAATTGAAACTCTAAAACAATATCCAAAACACATAGTTGGAAGTGGATAAAAAGCATTCTAATGTGCTGAATTATTACTTAATGGTCCTGTTATGTATATTAATAATGAACAGATAAATGCATACACCTAAAAAATATATACTTGTCCACTTTGCAAATCATTGAAATGCTCATGTTTTGGATCCCTTATACCATAAAAATATATCTGGCATCACACAGTAAGACATCATTATATAAGGATGTTGCATTGCCTGAATACAAAAAGGGAGAATTAACAATTCATTTTTCCAAACCTCCACGACCATATTTTAGTAATCATTAGAATGACTACATAACAATTCCATAGTCTTAGACTAATAAAAAAGGAGAAGCTAATTATCTAACTGGATTGAGAGGCAAGTCAAAACTCTTATTCTTAAAAATGCTTGCCACTTAGGAGACTAGGGTCTAACTCACTTAAGATGATCCTAATTCAAATCAATTTATTGAAGGAAAGGAATGCAAATGCAATCATATTGAAATCAAGGACACAGACGGCAATTTAGTTGAAATTTAATATAGTTTTGGCTTATATCAATTAGATGATAGAGGTAGACTGAAAACATAGAAGGGGAGTCTTAGAAACTTATTTTGTTATGGTTCTAATTGCATAACACAAGAGCAATTGGAGAGGGGATGTTAAGATGAATATGGAGATTGTAGTATAGATTTTGATGAATATGATATGTTCTTTTTAAACATTAGGAATGAAATCTTTACTCAATGGTTTGACAATAATGAATTTCCATTAACTGCTCAATCTCAAGTTTCTAAGAGGGGAGATTTTGATTCAGATCCAAGTGTTCATTCTGAAGTTGTGGAAACAGAAACATTTGCTTTAAATTAATTAGAGTAGCAATTCAAATAGAAGAAAAAAAAGAAATAATAAAAATGAAGAATGTGAAGATATTTATGATATCAATTGATAATAGACACTATACAAAAGAATATTAAAACCTATAATCAATCTTTCACTTCTTCTTCTTCTTCTTCCTCCTCTATCTTAAAACAATCCTATTCAATTTTATTATCCCTATATAAGTTGACCATTGTCTTCTTATCAATCAACTCATCGAACATAAGTTCAAATCTATTATTTTCTAAAACATTATCAGGAATGAATAGTTTTTTATTCAGAGGCCATTCCTCAAAAAAAGGAGGAGGAAATATTGGATCAATAGCAATTCTAATTTATATGGTCTCAAGTACCTGAACAAATTCTCAACAAGGGTTGGAATAATTTTACTTAAAAGAGGACATGATAATTCTAGACATGGGTTTGTATTTGCTTCAATTAACCAAAGTTTAAAATTGTCATCTATCATAAAATCTAATCCAAAAAGCTACATAGAATATTACTATTATTGTTACTTCAAAACTATTTGATCTTCTTTATTGATCTATCTTTCCATATGATGCTTTAATCAAATCCAATGCAATTTGCTTCATTTTGGGATAGATATCAACAAAAAAGTTCAATTTTTATTCTTTATGATATGTATCCAGATATCTCTAATATTCAAGGAATGATATCTTGTTTCCGAATTCATACTTCCCATAATCCTCATCTTTTGATTGAACTGCATCATTTGTTAAGTGAATGTATTTATTTAGACATTTTGTGGTAAATTCCTTAGACGATGTTCTTATATATCCTTCTTAATACCAGTATCCTTTTAAGACCCCATTCTAAGAGGTAAGGAGCATATAACATCTGATATCAAATTTTCTCTTATTATACAAAAATGGGTTATCTATGTATTGCTAGATTATATAAGTTCTCTATCTCCCATCAGGCTACTCTTCCATTATTGTCTTATTGATATCCAACAAGTCCTAGCAAACTGTTATCCCATTTCCCCTGTTTGTACATTCACCAGGTTTTACTATCCATAAATTTATTGGCTTGGCTTTCTTATCTTTCCGATAATCCATATACATTCTCTTCTCTTACTCTCTTATTTCTTCTTGCCTTTTGCTATAATAGTCCACAAATCTTAGATATTCTGGATCGGCTGTCCCTTGCTGAATGTGAAATGTAATTGGAATATACTTTGTATAATCTTCCTTAATTATTTTAAAATAGTTCCTCATGTTATAAAATAGGGCTTTCTTATTTCCCAAATGCCAATTGTCTTACATATGATTGTGCATTCTATAATTTCTACTTTCAATTCGAGTTGTAGTGTGAAACTAATAATTATAAGAGAAATTTGTACTCCTTTGATGTTTAAAAGCAATTTTTCAGAACAATCACTAAACACTAACTAAGAGTCCCATAAATTGTTGTCCTTCATATAAATAAGTAGTTTTTAGAGGTCATTTTAATTGAATATTCGCTTTAATTGAGTGAAATTGCTAATTTATTAAAAAGCTTATTTGCCTTATAAATTAGTATTAAAAAGTGGAACGGACCTTGTTTTGATACTGATTTCCAATTCTGAATCACTAGAATCAGCTACTGTATCTTCAATACTTTGAATAAATGAATCATTATTATAATTTGAATCATTACTTACAACATTAAATGCTGTTAGATTTTCAATGCATGTGTTTTGTTTTAGTTGAGTCCATATCATATTTGCTTTTGTGAAATCCATAGTCTCAATTTCTTACCACCACCATCGTTACCGAAATAGGTTTTTAATTAAACTAGCATTATTTCCTTTGCCGACATAAAAGTAATATGCTGGTATTTCCATTTTGTTAGGCGATTGAATGCATTGATTATTTGAAAAGTTGATTTTATTTAGAAAGCACCTATAAGATGTATGTCTCAATTGTAATTTATCTTTTAATAGGTTTTATTGTTGAGTTAAGGAAATTAAGTTATTTTGTTTTTGGGTGATATTTGGTTAGCTATTTTATTTGCTAGATACAATCTATAATTATTATTATTATTATTATTATTAGATAGTTTAAGTCTATCTTGATTTTCTTTTCACTTGAAGTTTCTTCTCTGATGGTTCCATCACCTTAATCGAAGATTTTTAAATAGTCAGTACTTTGTTTGTATTTTAGGTGTATCTCCTTTCTTTGCCTTAATTCTATTTATGATTCGAGATGGTCATTTTTTAAGGTTTTTAATTTTTTGACTTTGATCTCTAAGTAGAAGATCCAGATCTGCTAGTCAAATTTTCCCTTTACAAAGTCTTATATATAAATGGCGTAGAGGATGTTCTGCATATTTTATCCTTTTCTTGTGATTGACCAGGTGTTTTCTTAGTGCTTTTTCTATGAATTCTTGGACTTACTAATTTACTACTTTTGGATGAATATAATTCATTTGGTTCCTTTTCTCTAGATTGTATTCGAATTAATGGCTTCTTGGGTATTAACTAGAGAGGAGGTAAAGCCTTCTTGATTTCTATTGAGTATAAATATAGAAATTACGTTTGTCAATTTCTGAAAAAGTTGGATTGGTTTTAAGATTATAATAGGGGTGTTCTTGTTTGATCTCTGGAGGGAATTCTTTATTATTAGAGAAGGTTTCATTAATGAGTAGATTTTTCATTTTATTATTCTTTATGGGGGCAAGTCCTTTGGAGACTAAGCACAACAACATGTCATCGGGGTATTTAGGAGGAAGTTTATTCCTTTGAGTGAGTGGTTAATGGTCATTCCTATGGGTATTGGGAATAATCAATTTAGGATGTTGCATGGAATGATAATCTTTGCTGCTATTCAAAGATTCTGACAATTTTGTGTTGTATCGAAGTTGGAAGATCATCATATTATTAATTTAATTAATTAATCTCAGACCTTGAAATAACTAGAAATTTTATTTATTGTGATCTGCAATATTAATAATAAGATCATAAATTTGATTCATATCACAAATTAAATATTTCAGATAGAACCTTCCTTTTGTTTGTCTTTACCTTCATAAAACTTAATGTATTAACTCACCATCTCATTCACTTAAGGTTTAGTGACTCTTTCACCATCACTTTTGATCATTTTTCTAAATAAGCAGAAGCCAAGTAAAAAGAACAATACAACAAATGCGGCTAGAATCAATAAATATAAAGTAATAGATTAATCTAGAACCGGAGGTGAATAGCCTTCAATTTCTGAACTACATTCAGGTGGTGGTGTTAAAAAGCCTACGATGAAATGGTAGAATTACTATTGCAAATCTCTCCAAAAATGCCTTATCCTGAGAATTAACCTTTGTAAGCCATAGAGTTGACTAGAACAGCTGGAAATACATTTATTCCAGAAACTTAGTATATGTGCAACTAGTTTTCTAGCAATATATTGATAGCATTAGTTTCATTTTTGGTTGGTTGTGAAGTATTTTTGTCGACAAAAGATTCATCAAAACAATTTTGAATTTCAGTTTTAGGGATCCCTTGTGTTTCCATGATTTATTGACTACAAACAGAGTATGCTTAAGGCTTAGCACATTTGAAATTGAATTCGTCCTATGTAAATAGTTAGAATTATTACCATATACTAAAACCATTTATCTGGGTATTTTTAGAATATGCATGTTTATCTTAAAATCTCATAGACTACATCTCTACCAGTTCCAATGCCATAACCATCAGGATCAAACACACAATATCTATTTGAGCAAATGCAATCAGCATCCTTTTGAGTAATACCTGAAGTAGTTTCATTAAAACTCATCATAAAATATACAAGAGTGTAATTGACGTCTTGATCTTTTAATTTTTAGTAATATGGCTAATATTCATCGACAATTCTGAAAGATTCTCGATCTTGAATATTCAATCCAAAAATCACAGAGACTTTATCAGATTAGACAACATCAAATTTTAAAAGCATCATGATCTTAAAATCATTTGGGTCCTCCACTTTATAGGACTGAGCATTCTATTTTAAAATATCGAAATGCTTTTTTTTGATGAATACGGATGGGATCGATACCTAGCATAAAACTTGGAATATAAACTTAATATCCCTAACCATCGTCAGCCATAGTAAAATCAGATAACATTTTATCGTCATTGTAATTCCCGATGATTGCCATTTAATAACCAGCTTTCTCAGCATTCTTGACTTTAGTGACAAAGGTACAGTTCCCTCGTTCAATTAAGATAAAATGAGCTCCATAAGTAGGTCGAAGCTCACTACATCCATTTTGTGGATAAGCCAAGTCTACTATTCCCATCAAACGATGTCCAAATGGTATAATTCTAGTTTTTATAGACAACAACAAAATACCCAAAATTGGCTATACTATAATCAATGTACTCATTAATTAGGTTTTATGGCCTGATAACTTTGAGTTTAGACTAAATAACCGTAATAATGCAAATGAGTAGGAGAATATTATACATAATTTAAAATAATTGTGTCATCGATTATTAGTTTTGGATTAGATTAATACAATCGACAGAAATTGTGAAAACTGCTCATATGGTATTGCTTTGCATTATTATTCTCTGATTGAACCAATTGCATTATTTTCTAAAATAAAGAAAATTCATGTATTACATTGATTTTTTTGTTAGTAGAAGTGACTTTTACAAAAAACCCTTCCCCAATATCGGTTTAAAATCAATAGAGGAGTTCTTCTCAGAGAGAAATGAAATGTAAAAAATTGGATTGACTTAAGATGACGATATACACTAACAAATCATGACTCATGAATAGTAGTGTATGTAGGATCCAAATAAAATCGAAGCTCAGAAATAAATCCAAACGGCAAATTAAGAGTTGCTAGAAGAGTTAAATGATTCATTTGCAGATTCTTATGTAGATTCCTAAAACCTAAACAAAAAATCAATATTCCTCAAAGGTGCTAAAATAGTGAAATAATTGGTTGGCAAGATACTTCATTTCAGAAACAACAACAGAATGCAAAGTAAAAAAAGGAAGGATATTAAATGCACCTGTAAAAAAAATTAATGTTGCAATCTTTATTGTGGATGTTATCAAATATAAAAACATTGCACGAAATCATGTAAATGCAACAAAATCGAATGTCACAATAGGCCTAATACATGTTCCTAATTTCAATAATTACGATGATATTTTAATTAATAAATTTTAATCTCTATTCCAAAAATGTTGAAATTCGTTTATTTTATTATAATCAAGTTGTACTAGTTCTTCTCTTGGCCTTCGACTTTTATTTAACTGCATAGAACTCCAATTTCTGGCATAATGGATTATCTACTGGTAAAAGAGCCTTGCAAATTTAATAAGCCTTAACATTAAATGTAGAGCATATACCTTTTAAAAGTATTCCTCTCCAGAATAATCCATCTTAATCTTCTCCTTCTATAGAGTCTCGATGCCATCTTTTATTATGAGTTCGATCGTATGAGTAGGAACCTTAGCTTTCTGATCAATTGTTAATTGGAAGGCCAATTTGTCACCTTCCACTTATAAGAATTGGATTAACTTCTTCTAATCCTTTCTTTGCAAATCTGGCAATCTCTTACCAGATAAAGTGTCCAACTCTAATTGTTTCAACAAATTCTATTCCAAAAACCTGATAAATCCGTGTGTCTTATAATTATCAAAATGTTGAAGGTACGTTTTATCTTCCTTAAGAATTAAGGTAAGGATCTCAAACTTTTTAGAGGGAGCTACTTCAACTTAATTTGAATACTTAATAATGACAACCCCATGAGAACATCCACGTAATTCTTTATCATATTCATGATATTCTATCTTAGATATCCTTATCTAAAAGTTAATTTGCAATAGTCTGGATTGTAAATGGATGTTTAACAAAACTCATAGGCACTTTTAGCCTCTTCCAAGTACTTCATTGTTGACACAATTTTACTTTGGATCTAATGATAAATAATGATGTCATACAAAATAGATATCTGAGTAAGTGGAATATAGATAAGCTAATTAGGGACTGTATTCATAGGAGTACTCTTGACAAAAGCTCCTGTAAATAGAAAAAGATTAGTTTGCTGCTATTAAGGACCATCTGCAAACTAGATCGATGGACAACCCTTCATTGATCCCTTCTAGAACAGTTATCTTTGACTAGATGAATGACTTTGTCTCCAAGTACTTCTATTCCATAGCTGGAGTGCATTTATTCTTGACTTTGCTTTCCAAAATCTTGATGGTTTTTTGATTCAACTCAGCCTTAAATGCATTGATTTTAGCCTCTGTGTCAGTCTATAATGTGTAACTCATAGATGCTTACAACTAATTGTTCTTCTAGATCTTTGACTCGCAATGTGGTCAAGAATTCAGCATACATTCCAGCAATCAATCTTTGGATGTGAGCATTAAAGATATGGTTCGATCCATATTATGACTATACGTATTTTTATATAGCGAACATAGGGTCGACCACTTGGGTTAATTTATCTGCGACATTAAGAGAGGACTCTAAGTAGCATAAAAAGGCTTCTGTTTTGAGTCTATTGATTTCGAAGTATGGTCTAAGTGCACTTTTCATTAGTGTTTAGTCATAAGAAAAGATGAGGGGCTTAACAGATTCTTGTTCAGGTCTCTTGATTTCAAAGAATTTGTCAAATTCTAAATTGCAAAATACCTAAAGATGAATATATATATTAGAAAATACTCTTTCATTTTTGATTGTTTTAATTTGAACATTTAACAACTATTGTTTATCTTCAATGGTTTGTATCATCAATTGAGATTTGGAGATACCTTTCATATAATCTGCAATAATCAAATCCAAATTCATCTGAATATTTGAATTAAGTGTAATGATCTCCTCAACTTGGGATTGCTAACCGAATTTATCCACACTAAAATTAATTATAATCTTATTACAAAGATAAATTTGCCTAAGCCAATTTAAAGTCTCCTTTCATCATAATTGCAAGTGTGTGTAAACTTTCAAGATACTGAAAGGCTGTTCTTAGAAAAATGATTTGTTTTAAAGTTTTAAATTATCGAACATTCAAAAAGAGTTCTTTGATTGGTTCTAGGAGTGCCAATACATTATGTTCGTATTTCTCATAAATTTAAGCATTTTAATTTAAGATTTTGAACATCTCCTCCACCTTCAAATCCTTTTTAGTTGACTTTTAAAAGGTTTTCTCAGCCTACCATCTAATAGCTACCTTACATAATTGTGAGTAGATCAATTAAAAGAGTTTCTATGAGACACTGGCTGCAGTTGTATCTGCATCTGAATATTATCCAGTGTGCATCTAGTAGATAACTAACTTAACTCCTAGTTGACACAAAACCACTTAATTTTCTAAGGAAGCTGAATCAATTTATGCCAAGGCTGCCTTGATTTAAGTCATTTCATTTTGCTCAAGGGATTAGGACAGTAATAATTTGCTTACTTCTAAATAATTATTTGATCTCTTAGTAAAACTCTAGGCCTTCTAGACTTATTCGAAGAGATCCTCCATTTGTCTTTCATCAGTCTTGTCTTCTTTGAGGATGTTCAAACGGATCTCTTCAGAATAAGCAAAGATCTTGACATTGAATATTTGCAAGGTTTGGTAGAAGGAGGAATGGGTTGAATTGAATAGATAGGATCTGTTTTCAAACAGTATCAAGGTGAATTTCAATAATTCTGAGGCAAATTCCAATTGTTGATTCTTCAGGTTTAGATCCAATATCTTTAAAATCACAAACTTGATGTCATAATAGTTCTCATACTTCTCCTTCTTTATCCAAGGCATCTGCTTGAACTCAATCAATTACGTCAGTGATGTTCCTCCCAATTGATGTTAGACTATAGTAATAATATCAATGGTGGACAAGAGGATCATGTGAATCAACGATTTGGTGTCTGTTTGCAGTACGAATTCCTCAGCTATTTGATCCATTTAAGTGTTGATTGTCTATAGAATGACAGGCAATTGCTGATGATTTTGGGATATTAAGCAAAGTCGTGCTCTTACCAAATTGTGCTCTACAACCATGAATCCATTTTTATTACATAAGGATTCCTCTGCTGCATGTTTGGCTTCTATAGATTTGAGAAAGGTGTCAAGATGTTCATCGTCCAAAGATTCTAAGTTCTACTTACTATTGATAAAGAAGTATCCTTAGATTAATTCAGTGATTATGTTATTCATGAGATTGTTCTTGAGCCAAGAATCATTGTTGTTCTTTGAATTATACTCCTCATAAAAAAAGGGCAATAAGGGTTAATAATAAATTTGCAACTGCTTGATGAGTGACTATTCCATGATTACTTGACTAATCTCCTCAATGTTATTGGTCTCCCTTTTGGTAATGTATGGATATTAATGATTCTATGTGTGAATCAGTATATGCAGAATCTTGATACAGAGAATGCAATTCAAGAGTTCTGCATTTTAATCCTTCAATATTTACATGAATCCTTGGAAGATGCCCTCACTCATAGTAATGGGATTAAAATAGAGCAAGTGAGAACAATGATATATGAGGAGGGCCAATAGTAGTTTGTTATAATTCTAAAAGATTTAGGATTTGAGACCAAAACTCTCGGAGATGAAGAATACTTCTTCCATTATTTCAGTGACTGTTTTGAAGATATTCAAAGTAGATTTCTCATCATTGATTTCTGCAAAGTATTCTCCAGTCCAACCTAATTGAGGAATCTGATTCAATTGACTCAACAAACAATTCTACACTGTGAAATTCTTAGTGTAAGGCTTCAACCTCTTCAGAATGCCATGATTGTCCTTACTCCTATTCAATTACATAATCTACAGAAATTTGCCTTGTCTGTACAACCACTGCAAAGTATGATCCAAACTTCTTTGAAAATCCTCCTTAATTTTAATTTGAGTGTTTTACAGTTATTATCTCACCAAGGAGGACTTCCTCCTGTCAATTTCCCCTAAGTTCTCTTCATCTACCTTGATGTAACTGTGCAGAATATTAACTTCATTTAAGAGATCATGCACCTACTGAAAATCAGCATCTCGCCAACTATCAAAACTGATTTACACTTTCATATAATACATTTTCAATCTGATTACCATTTTGATTAGAATATCCTCCTTAATTACAAACTATCCCTACTAGTTCTTTTTGGAGTGTTTCACATCATGCACTATCTCACCTGAAGTATCAATGATGAACTCCTCAGAAATGTCATGAGCCAATTAGTATTGCTATTGCAGATGGTAAATCTACACCAAAGCTTACTGAAAGAAATGACCATACTGCTTTAATTTATATGGTAATTATTTGACATCCTTGAGCTTGTTTTTATCATCCTTGCAATTCTTAATCAATTGGTCTTTGGACACTTACAATTCATACAATTACTCTCGATTTGCAATTGACAGATGAACATTCTGGATCTTCTATCGTTCTTCTTCTGTCTTGGTTATGTCATGCAGCAAATGAACACATGTAATCTCCACTCCTTTAATGA